GAGGATGATTCTATCCAATAAGATGGTGCAGTACGGCTCGATCACTGAAAGGGCATGCAACTCGCTGACCCTGCGGGCAGAAACTAGTGCCGTGAGGAGGATGGTTTTAAGAGTCAAAGATCTGAGCGAACATTCATCCAGCGGTTCGAAAGGCCCCCGCCGAAAGCTCTTCAGGACTGTGCCCAGGTCCCATGATGGAAGTTTTGGCAAGGACGGGGCACGGCGCCTGGAGATAGCCCTCAGGAATCTGATTACTAATGGGTCTGCCGCCAACCTCAGCTCGAGAAAGTTCGACAGAGCCGCTACCTGTACTTTGAGGGTATTGGCGGCCAGACTCTTATCCGCCCCGGCTTGAAGGAATTCAAGAACTGTATGCAAAATGGGCGTGCCCGGTGCTTCGTTTTTCTGACCTTCCAGGCGGAAAACTTCTTCCAGACCTTGTCGTACAAGGCGTTCGTCGACCTCTCTTCCGGCCATCCAAAAGGGTGGCGACCACTCTTGCCGAGAGCCCCTTTTCCGCTAGCCTGTCCCGCTCAGAAGCCACGCCGCTAAGGACAGCCTTTCTGGATGAGGATGCATCACCCTCCCTTGGTTGAGTAAATCGCGCGTGGGTGGTATCATCCAAGGGTCTGCTAAACTGAGCTCCTTCAACCGGGAGAACCAAGATCTCTTGGGCCAGAATGGCGCGATCAGAATAACTTTGGCTTGAGACACCCGGATCTTCTGAATCACCTTCGGCAGTAGTCTGAATGGAGGGAAGGCATAAAGGAGGTCTCCTTCCCACTGCTGGGCTAGCGCATCTATCCCCTCGCTTTTGGGGTCCTTCTGCAGGCAGAAGTACCTTTCCCGCTTTGTGTTCTGGCCGTTGGCAAATAGATCGATAGAGGGGGAGCCCCACCTGGCGCAAATCTGATCGAACGCTGACTGGCTGAGGCACCATTCTGTCTGGATGACCTCTCTTCGGCTCAGTTGATCCGCCAACTGGTTCAGGTCCCCTTTCAGATGTACTGCCGTGATGAACTCCAGGTTTTCCTCCGCCCAGCTCAGGAGGGATCCGGCCAACTCCATCAGCCTTGGGGACCTTGTGCCTCCCTGCCTGTTCAAATACGCCACTGCAGTGGTATTGTCGGAGAGAATCTGGACACCTCTCCCCCTTATCTTTTCCTGAAAGGTCGTAAGTGCTTTGAAAACTGCCAGCAGCTCCCTGTAATTTGACGACCTGCTGGAGTCTACTGCACTCCACGTGCCCTGGGCCAGGCCGTCTTCCATATGGGCGCCCCAACCAGTCATGCTTGCATCCGTGGTGATCCGCAGTGGGTTGGCCAGCCTCCAACTTCTTCCTCGTTCCCAAGGTGAGGCTGCTTCCCCACCACCTTAGCGATTCCTTCACTTCGTGCGTGATGCGGATCCTGGAACTCAGACCTGCTCGGCTGCCGTCCCAGTGGGAAAGGGTGTGATTTTGCAGCACCCTGGAGTGAAGTTGCGCCCATTGCACCCCTGGAATTGCCGCTGTCATCCGCCCGATTATTCTCATCGCGGTCCTGACCGTGCAGGTCGACATCCTCCGGAGGGCCCTTGTGTCCTGCCGCAGGTTGAGGGCTTTTTCTGATGTTAGGTACGATCGGGCCTGTGCGGAGTCCAGGACGTACCCCAAGTACGTAATCCTCTTGGAGGGGGTTAGCTGTGACTTCTTGTTGATAAGCCACCCCAGACTTTCCAGAAAAGATATCGTACGTTCGATGTGCGATCTCAGGCCTCCCTCTGTGTCCGCAAATACAAGCAGGTCGTCCAAATAGGGGATAATGTTTATCCCTTCCAGTCTCAAAACTCTTAAGGCTCCGCTAAAATCTTGGTGAATATCCTCGGGGCCGACGACAGGCCGAAGGGGAGTGTGTTGAACTGAAATAGCACCGGACCCTTTTCTCCTTCCAGCGCAAACCTCAGGAATCTCCTGGAATCTTCTCTTATCGGGACATGTAGGTATGCGTCTTGCAGATCTATCGAGGCCATGAACACCCCAGGTGAAAGGAGTTCCTTCACCGTGTATATGGATTCCATACGGAATTTGCTGGGCCTCACGAACTCGTTCACCTTCCGCAGATTCAATATCATCCTGTAAGTACCTGACGGTTTTTTCCTTAGAAAGAAATGGGAGAAGAATCCACTTCCCCTTTCCTCTTCTCTCAACTGGCAGATAACGTTCTGACTGAGCATATTTTGTAGGAGGTCCACCAGCGCATCCGCCATAGCCCTGTCCTTTGGCAGGGGTGTCGCAAAGAGAATCTCTGAGGGGGGGGCCCTTGTGAACTCTATTCTGTACCCCCTGTGGATGGCCTCCAGAATGTAGGTGTTCTGGGTTATCCTTAGCCATTGTGCGTGGAAGCGCCCCAGTCTCGCTCCCACCTGGCCTCTCCAGTCACTTCGGCTGGGTTTTGGGTCTATTCTGGCCGGGGTTGAAAAGGAAACCTCCCCTGCCTCTCGGCTCGTTCCTGCCTCTTCTTGCGCCCCAGCCTGGGCGCTGGGTTTGGAACCTAGCTTCCCTTGACGCGTATCGCCTGGATGGGCGAAACCCCTTCCGTCCAACCTGCCTGCTGGGGACCGGGAAGCTCTTTTTCCTGTCGGCCGACCTTTCCAGGACTGAATTCAGCTCCGGGCCGAAAAGGAGTTTACCTTCAAACGGCAGGCCACAGAGTTTAGATTTGGAGGCCAGATCCCCCTGCCACGATTTCAGCCAGATAGCCCTCCTTGCCGTGTTTATGAGCGCTGTAGATCTAGCAGAGAGTCTGATGGTCTCTGCTGATGCGTCCGCGATGAAGGCTACCGCTTTCTCCAGCACCGGAAGGGACTTCAGAATCTCTTCCCCCGGAGTGCCTTGTTCCAGATGCGAACGGAGCTGCCCCAACCACACATCCAGGGTTCTGGACACACAGGTCGTTGCCACTGCAGGTTTAAAATTCACTGCGGACGCTTCCCATGCCCTCTTCAGGAAGGCGTCCGCTTTCCGATCCATCGGGTCTTTTAGGGACCCACCCGTCTTCAAAGGACAGATCCGTGTCCTTCGAGATCCTCGAGAGAGGGGCGTCTGGCTTTGGGCAAGTCTCCCAAACCGAGGCATCTTCCTCCTTAAAGGGGAAACGTCTCTTGAGGTTCTTGGGAAGGAAAGCCTTCTTCTCTGGCTCTTCCCATTCTCTCCTGATCGTGGACCATAGGGCAGGGTGTACTGGGAATGTACGGCTGCTTTTTGCCTGTAGCCCTGCGTACAGTTGGTCGTGGAGGGAGAGGTCCTGCTGTTCTTCCTCCAGATCCAGGGTCTCTCATAGATCACCTTTAACAGGTCCTCCGTGTCTTCCACCTGAAAAAGGAACCTGTCTGCCTTTGGGCCCTGAGCCTCAATCTCACCCTCCTCCGAGTCTGAGGTGTCCGACTGTTCGTCCTCCCAGTCCCTTACCGGCGCTACCAGCTTCCTCTTTTTCCCCCCTTGGGTGCCAGAAGTGCCCGGTTGGGGCTCATCCTGGGCCGGTCCCGGCTTCTGTTCTCTGAAGCTTTGAAATGTCTTGGACATCTCTTGTGTCATATTCTGTAGGAAGTCTTTAAAAAGAGATCCAGACTCCTTCTTGATGAGCTTGTCTATGCACCCCTGGCAGAGCTGCTTCCTCCAGGAGCTCGCCAGTTTCTTCCTACAAGTGGCACACTTCTTTTTCTGCTCACAAGGAGCTTCTTTCTCCCCTCTATCCTCCTCCTGTGGGCCCATCTGGGGACAAGGAGATACACGCGTTCATGCGTCTGTAACAGCAACGCCTCCCCCCCTGTGCCACTGTGCAAGCTCCAGCTGTGGGCCTGGGGGGGGGGGGGGGAGAAGGGGGCTGTGTGTGCGTGGGGGGTACCCAATCATCCCGGGGGGGGGGGGGGGGGGGAGGGGGGGGGGGGAGGAGGAGGGGGGTAAAAACAAAAAGGAAGTTTGCCAAACAAGGCCCTTACCTTACTGCAGGCCTCCCCCGCTCCTGACAGATCTGCCTCCATGCCGCCGCAGACTCTGCCTCGGTGCGACGGGTTTTTCAGGGGCTGGTGGGCTCCGCCCCCCCCCCCTGCGATCCCCCCTCGCCGACCCCCCTCTCACGGCCGCCGGTGGAGAAGCGGCCGTGGCACGGGTTCCTTCCACGGCCCGCCGCCCATTTCCAAGATGGCGGCGGCCGTTCCCTGCTCCTGCGCCGGAAGTGACGACACCCGGCGCCCGGAAGTGACGACACCCGGCGCCCGGAAGTGACGCGATCGCAGCGTCCAGACCCACCGCAGCCGAGCCTCCTGGCCATGCTGCCGGGATCCAGGAGCAGGTAAGACTTACCTGAACCCCCAGGGAAAGGCACCAATGCCTCGGTCGGCGGAGCGGGCTCTACCCCCCTGGAGAGCCCCGCTGGGACCATCTGGGGCCGACGCCCCCACCCCACAACGGGCATCCCTGGTGAAACTGGCTGAAAGGTCCCCCCTTTCACAAGGCCCCTGCCTTGCTTGGAGGAAGGGGGGGGCCCCAGCCAGGGACCCTCTGTACTCCGCCAGAGAGCCCAGATAAAAAATAAAAAACGGGCGTAGCTCCTTCCTGGCCGGAGGAAACACTAAAACTGGGGGCCAATGGGAGAGAGGACGCCTATAAAGGGGAAAAAAAGGTGGAGCGGGTGTTTCCTGGGAGGAGCCCTATCTCTCAAGTGAGCTGTCCTAGAAGATGACTCGGGAAAACTTCTCACTGTTTCAAAAATGATTTGCAGAGGGAACTTTTCTGATGCAATGTATATAGGGTCTGTGTATACAGTAGAAACCATTTTCGCAAAGCAACCATTGGAGACTAGTATAATGTCTGAAGGTAATCCATTTAGACAGAAAACTACAGACAATCCATTTTAATTTTCTGCTGACTAAATAATGTAATGACCTGCTGCCAATCTGATCCTCCATGCCTTTTCTGAATGCATAAACAGCACATTTAACAAGTACAATTCAGAACTAACCTGTAAGCAATTTCATCCGAAACTTTGTCTTCTGAATCATCCTCAGTTATTTCATATCTGCCTTTATAGTCCATCTCTAATTTATCACCAAGCCTCTCTTTCACAGGTCGCTTCCTCTTTAAATGACCGTTCTCTTCTTTTGGCACACGATCCTTGTCTTCATTCATGTAGTCATCCAAATCTTTGTCTAGTTTTGACTTCTCACCTTCATTTTCTTTTGCCATCATTTTCTTGGCTAGAATATAATTGTAAGTCTCTGACTGTCTGCTCAGATCTATCTGGCCATCCATGTCCATAATTCCAAGTTCGGCAGCTACAGCCTCTTGTGTCTGCTCTTGAAGTACTGCCCCCCATATATTATTCTTTGTACTTCTTGCCTGCCTGTTCTGTATTGGAGCTGAGGCCACAGTTGGTCTTGACACTTCTGGAGGAGGATGGGAAGACTTCTGGCGTTTACGTTTCCAAGGAGAACCCTCATCTGTGTCAGAATCAGAAAAGCTGTCATCACTGGAATCCAAACCTTTGACATTTCTGTAAGGGACACTGGAAGACAGAGCTGCATTGTTTCTGTAGTCACCAGCACTGGGTAAACCAACTTTCTGCAAATAAACAATTTTTAAAAGGTAATGAGTTTGAAAATATTTACAGAAATTTATTGGACAAAAAGGTCAGCTAATCAGCATAAAAAAATCTCTCTAAAACACCTCAAAGTACATTATGGAGTGGACAGGGATTAAAATGTCAAGTCCTGAGCTACTAGCCAGGCCTTAGAGTTACTCACCACCAACAAACACACGCACCTGTACACACACACGCAGAGACAGACACATGTATACACACAGGCACATACACAGACACATGTACATACAGTCGCATGTGCATACACACACGTACACAGACACATGTACAGATACACACAGACACATGTAGAATTGTACATGCATACACATGTAAACTCCCTCCCCCATAAAAAGTTGCAGTACTTTGTTGTTCACTCACAGAGCCGGGTACTGCACTCTAGGGGGAGGCAGAGAGCACAGCACACACTCCTTGCTTTGCTTTCACTGCGCTCAGCTATTGAGCAGTCTGACGACTCCCAGTGCCAATGACAGATCCGGCCTGAGCTCAAAGCCTGCTCAGCAAAAGGGTCCTGAGGGACACACTCACCCCCACCATAATTTCCACTCGCCATTGGCGAGGAGGTGAGTAGAAATTTCAAGCCCTGTACTAAAGGCAAATAGACTGCACACTATGCAAGTGTATTGCACACATTTTCCCCAGAGATTAATGAATGTGGTGAAGATTTACTTTGTAAAGAATACCCAATCGGGTGCAAGGAGGAAAAAAAAAAGAGCATTTCTGCTTGTACATTATTGGATGATGGAAATCAGCAAAGCCTGACCACAATCACTAAGATCTGGGGAAATAAGTACAACTGCACAGTCTATTTGCCTTTAGTAAATCCACCCCATGCCTTAAAGTGACACTGAATGATATCCCAATCTCCAAAAATAATCCATACATATCAACTACGTAATGGCTCTGTAATTTCATTTTCAGAAAATTGTTTTCTGTGTTTCTTGCAACATCCTCTGTGACCTACATTTCATTTCCCTCCCCATTTTCATTTTTTTTTCATTTCCCTCCCCTTTATTTTTTTTTTTTTGTTAATTTTGGATAGAGAGGTATTAGAACAACTTTTATGTTTTTATTGCTATCTGTGCCCTGTTAGGGAGAGTTACGCTGTTTGTCCTGTTTATCATTGAAAGTAAAAGAAAATCCCAAATTTTGGTTTGTCCCCAGAACAGTAATGGATCTTTCAATGGGGACACTAGTTCTGGTGATACACCCGGGGGTTCCCTCTCACTTCCCGTTGTGGCTATGGGACAGGAAGCAAAGGGAAATCTCCTCAATTGGACACAGATGGCAAATAAATATTATGGGGTTTTAACATACCCTTACTCTATCCAAAATGAAAAAATGCTTTGCTTTTACTTCTTAACTCAAATTGCTCTCCGCCTCCTCCAAAATCCTCTTTTATTTTGAGCTGTAATCTGACTTCCTGTTATAGGGTGGCTACATTCATTCTCCATGGGCCACGGTATGTAGGAATGTAGCCACCCGCCTTGCTCGATCCTGAGGTATGCTATGGACTGTGAGATGTGTAATATGTATGGAGCTGTATACATGACCACTAACATACATGGCTTGTTCCAAATAAAGGGACGTGAGGGGGAGGAGAAGAGGTTCAGGAGCTCACAGAGGACAGTACAAGAAGACAGAACACACATGAAGGAAGATGTTCCTGGAAAGTAGATTACATGGCCATTAGGACGAGGATAATGTGGAGAGGGGTGCACGGGAGGTCATTGTGTCTCCATACACACAGAGGGGGAGCCATGCTTCCAGTATACATACACTGCGCACTACAACTGCCGGGGCCCCATGGCGGGAAGACAGCCCAGCCCGCCCACACACACACTGCCGGCTACCTGCTGCGGGGCTCTGCTCGCCGACTCCTTCATGTCTGTATCGGAGCTCAGCTCCCCATCCTCCAACTCTTCATCCTCCATCATTCCCCGGGCGGACTCCAGCGCCATGACACTGACAGGAAAGCGGAATCACGTCAAAGCGGGGAAGAGCGCACGATTCCGCAACACTTCCGGGGGAGAACCGGCAAAGCGCTGCGCACGCCTCACTGCTGCGGGAACATTACAAATAATACGGTACAGCAGACACAGTGCATGTGGCGGTGGGATATTCCTACCGTATTTTCCCGGAAGGCGGGGCTTCCTTTCTGACATGAGAAGCCCTATACCTATACTAATAACAATTATAATAATTATATATATATATATATATGTAAAAGTTAGTATTATTATACAATATATATAAAATACACATATATATATATACTGTATATATGTGTGTATATATTTATACTGTATATATGTGTGTGTGTATATATGTGTGTACATGTGTGTATATATATATATATATATAATACACACACACACACATATATATATATATATATATATACACACACACACAATATACACATGTATATAATATATATATATACCAGCAAATAACTTTACTTAAACACATGGTGGAGAATTGCATTGCACATATATATATACAGTCAGATCCATAAATATTGGTACATCGACACAATTCTAATTATAGATTAATTTATAACAAATCAGTAACGTTCAGGAATCTGTCTATTATAACATCCAGCAGGCACTTTTAAGTAGCAAAGGAACATACATTTCCATTACTAACAATAGCAAAAGGCTCAAACAATGTACTGTATGTGACAAAACATAAAAACTCAATATGTGACAATTAATGCTGCTGTTCACAAGGTGAAATCAACAAAACAACTATAATCAATAACAAAGCACAAAAAATGAAATGAATATAGAAAAAATGATAATAAAGTCCACAATCCCAAAGAAAATCCGTGAATAAGTGCTCCAATCAAAGAAATCCATGGCAAAACAAAATCCATAATGTGTTCTTTAAAAAATAATATCACCACACAGTGCTCCGTGATCATTCTCTAATATATTCCACACTCACCAGATTTGATGGGATATGGGTAAAATTCCTCAATACATTCCAAAATTCCTCATGCAGGTAAAAGGGAAGCAAAAAAAGGGGACACTGATCCATGACCTCCCACATCAGTACAGCGATAGTGAGTATGCCCTGGAGGAGGGGTGAAATGCGTTGACGCAGTTTCCAGTGCCGGCAAGTTTGTCATGACTTCACATCCGGTTAGCGATTAGCTGCGCTCCAGAGCCATTTTGCTGACTAGCACTGTACTGATGTGGGAGGTCATGGATTACACACTATTTTAAGGCCTATCTGTTGTTTATAACATGTGAGTGCAATATGTACTTCGAATTTATTTAAATAAAGGAGTGTTACAGTATTACACTACCAGTGTCCCCTTTTTTTGCTTCCCTTCTACCTGCATGAGGAATTTGGAATGTATTGAGGAATTTTACCCGTATCCCATTTTGAATCCTGGATATTACTGGGAGCACATCTCACCAGTAACAAGCATTTTTGACTCTTAAGCCCTACAAGCTAAGAGTCCATCAAATCTGATGAGTGTGGAATATATTAGAGAATGATCACGGAGCACTGTGTGGTGATATTATTTTAAAGAACACATTTTGGATTTCATTTTGGCATGGACTTCTTTGGTTGGAGCACTTAATCACGGATTTTCTTTAGGATTGTGGACTTTATTATAATTTTTCTATATTCATTTCATTTTTTGCACTGTGTTATTGATTACAGCAATAAATATTTAACTTTTTTTGGCAAAAGTATGTGTTCTGTGCTCCATTTGTTAAAATGCTGTGGCTGCAATGTTTAGGCCAATATGTCTGTTGGCTGGTTTGTTAAACTGTTTACAGCTTACTGCTTATGAAGCAAATTCTATTACTGGATACATTTTTCCTTGGTAAATCATTTGTGTGCAAGCTGTATGCAAATACTTGCAGGTCAGAGTGTAAAGTATTTTGATAAGTGTGTGATCTATTAGCACCATATATTTTACAGCATATAGGGTGATGAGGTAACAGACTAAGGTACTAAAGGATAGAAGGACTACAATAATGTGGACTAGTGCTGTAGCATAGTTCAGGGATCTCCAAGCTTTCTAAACAAATGTAACGCCCTCCAGGTTAGTTAAGTAGCTTTTGTTAAATCCTCCTCTCTTCCACCTCTCCAGAAACTTGAGAACTTTCTGGAAGAGGGGTGGAGGAGGCCCACATCTTCATGTTTGAGGGACTCTGGCCACTACCCTGGCAGGAGTCTGGGAATGGTGACCAGGGAAACCCTCAAATGTGGCAGAGCCTGGGGGAGGGATGCAGTGTCAGGTGGAAGATGGATTGAGGAAGGCTGGAGTGAGGAGCCTGGGAGGGGTCCCAGGGAGGGGAGCCTACCTTCAGGCAGGTCCCTGGAAAAGAGGCTCACCACTGCCTTAACATCTCCAGGAGAAAATGGCCTGTGTAACAGGGAAGAATCCAGCCCAACGTAAGGCCTGACGGCAGCCACCAAGCTAACAGGAAAGGCTAGTGTGAATACGCTTACAATCCCTGGGCCAGATAAGGGGAGAGGGTGGTCAGGTGAAAGACCCAACTAGCTTCTCATCTGGGACTGTTCTAAATTAACAACTCTTGGGCCCCCTTGCTCAGGGATACCCTCTGGCAGCTGGATGAAGAAGAGGAATCATGCAGTTTCTGAGGAGGTACACCTAAGTGCCTTTGGGGCTCTTAAAGAAAGGACTGTTGCTAATCTGAATCTTTGTACATAGTTGCTAATGAGTTGTCCTCGAGTTCTAAAGTTCCTCAGGCATCCCATATACCCCTAGACCCTATCCAAGTTTAGCCCCTTATTAAAAATTACAAACCAAACTCAAGGACTGTTCATTGACTCCAGTGTGCAAAGTGTGGGAAATGCATGTTTCATGGCCATGCAGAGCATAGGGGGACCCAACTCAAATCCAGTGGCCCCTAAGGGGGTAGTGCTATACAAAGGACCAGCTTATAGCCCTATAGATATTAGGGGGGCCAGACTGTGACCAAGGAAAATAGAAAATGGTATCAGTGGAAAGAATAGTGTCTCATCAAAGGTGACAGTGAGAAGATTAGTGCCCAATTGTTGGTGTCAATGGCAAGAATAGTGCCACAACAATGGTGACAATGAGAAGATTAGTGTCCTATTGTTGGTATCAGTGGGAGAAATAGTGTCAAATAAAGGCAAGCAAAGAACTACATCTTGCCCGCGGGCCACAGTTTGGAGACCACTGGCATAGATGATGGCCTGGTACATCTTCAGTACAGCCAAAGCAGCATATTTTAATTAGCAAACTGAAACTATTTTCTATACTATTGCACTTTTAAAATCGAAGGTTTGAACCAAATTGAGTCTAATTGAAGGCAAAAGATTTCCAACCTGATTGAGCAAAAGTAACAGTGTCTGTTTTAAGTGAACCTGTCATCAACCCTGGCGGTTGAAATTGATCATACAATAAAACATATGTACCATAAGTAGATGTTAATTTAAAGTATACCTAAACTCAGGAACCAGGGTCAGCTCCAGACAGTTTTTTTTGCTAGTGCTGGTGCTGGGGGTGGTGAAGGAGTGGAGTCCCCAATGCTGAACCCCATGTTATAATAGAAGCAGACATGCCATAATGACAAATGCTTAGTCAGAATAAAAGATGCAATGTTATGTAGAAACCACAGTGCAATAAGAACACAGACTGTAGCCCCTTTTTAAGCACATTGAAGCATATACAGTAGAGTTCTTTGTTCAGAGTGCCTACATAGTAATTTGTTGTCCTTTACATTGCTGGTCAGCAACTGCAAAAATAAGTTTTATAATTGGTGTAAGCAGGCTAAATAATAAAATAGCTGTCAACATTTGAAAAGAATTAATATCAATACGGTACTTCAAAGTGATTGAGAAGAAAATTGTGGTGTATCTGGCCACCTAACACCTGCCTTGAAGAGACTGAAAAAGAAATTATGACATGCTACCCACTTGTGAGTGTGGACAGAAATGAGTGATCAATAAAATGGGTGTTGTTTCATGTTGCATGGCTTGTATGCTGTCACCTATCCTGAATTGCAGTGGTGTGCAAAAAAGTGTGCGCTGAAACAAAGTACTGCATGCAGTACTTTTTCCCAGTGTAGTGCAAGTCACCGCATGCCCGCCATTAGAACATTATAAAATTTTGCTGTGTGACATTTCAATTAAGTTTTGTTTAAAAATGTAACAGGATCGTGATGGACAGCAAACATTGGCAGACAAGGGTAATCTGAAAGTATGTCACGTGGAAGCCAGATCAATAACAAATCAGTATACGTTTCAGGATCAGGAACATAGGTTCCATAAAGATGCGCATGTTTATTCGCGTCCACATACAATAAGTGAAGTTCTCATTTGGACCCCATTCATAATAGTGTGTTATATACCTTTCAAAAGTTACATAGTTACACAGATGGTAAGATTGAATAAAGACACCAGTCCATCCAGTTCAACCTGAGTGAGTGTGTGTGTGTCTACCTACATTATGTTTGCTAAAGCTGATCATAAATGGGTAAACTTTGGAATGAAAATTCTTAGGAAAAGAATGTTCTGAGAATGTTTGTTTTTGTAATCATTAGTGGGGAAAATCAATGTATATTTTAGTGACTAGAAAATTCAAAAGAGTAGGATAGAAAATTTTAGTCAAATGAACACATTTCTAATAGTGTATGTCAGGGGTGGCAAACTTAATTTCTTTGCGGGCCATATCAGCATTATGGTTGCCCTCAAAGGGCCACTTGTATCTGTACTAGACTAGATGTCCAGACCACCCCACCCCCATTACATCAGATGTCAAGAATCCTACACCCTCCCTAACATCACCATGCACCCCTTTTGGAGGCAGAGCTGGAAAGCAGAAAGTGCAGGGTCTGGAGGAGGACCAGAGGAGTGGAGTCAGTTACCAGAGTCTGCTGAAAGCTGAGACCAGGGGAGGCAGAGATGAAGGGGTGCTGCAGCTGCACTGAAATGTTCATGATTTGGCAGAAGAGTTCTACTCTCCTCTCTGCTGCCGACTGCTGAGACAAGGTGGGGGCGGAGACAAGGGGTTACCTGCAGGAGAGGTGCAAGGGCCACATGAAATGGCCTGGAGGGCCTGATTCGGCCTGCGGGCCTTGTGTTTGACACCTGTGGTGTATGTGGTTTAATTTGATAAAGTGTATGCATTCAGAAAATCAAATGTTAAAAGTAGGGTTGCACCAATACTGTTTTTTTTTTTATCGGCGAGTACGAGTACCGATACTTATGCTCAAGTATTTGCCAATACCAATTTCTAATACCTTTGTGCTGTGATTTGAGCTCATACAAAGTGAATGGGCTCTAATCGCACTGCAAAGAATCACATGTGATGTGAACAGGAATATGGTGCGAGTCCTGTCTGAATCAACTGCCTGCAGGTGCGATTTACATTGTGATTTGAGCCATACAAAATGAATGTCTCAAATCACACTGCAAATCGCACGACACCTGCAGGGAAACTGCGTGTGATTCACACTACATTCCTGTTCAAATCACATGCAATTGTTTGCAGTACAATTTCAGCCCATTCATTTTATGTGGACTTAAATCACACCGCACAGGCATCGGTTTCAGCTATCGGAGCATTTGCATGCGTACGAGTACTCCTGCAAAAGCTTTTGAACAACCTTTGAATGTTCTGAGAATTTTCATACAAATTCTACTAAAACTTCGCAAAATTAAAAATTCTATCCATCTATGACCAGCTTAAAGTGGTAGTAAACAACACTTGAACACTTACACCTACAGGTAAGCTTATAATAAAGCTAGCCTGTAAGTACAAGGATTATCTCCTTAACATGCACCGTCACTGTCTCTGCAGCCGATGACAATACTTACGCATACGCTCTAAAGGGACGACATACTCATGCTTTCCCTTCAGAGCTCTGTGCCGCAGCTGTGACTCCCATGTGACTCTGGTCTGTTGCTCAGTGGTCCAAAATCCCCTTTTCTGATGAGAGCAACTTTTGCATCTCATTTGGAAACCAAGGACCCAGAGTATGGAGGAAGAATGGAGAGGCACACACTGCAAGATGCTTGAAGTCCAGTGTGAAGTTTCCACAGTCTGTGTTGATTTGGGGAGCCATGTCATCTGCTGGTGTTGGTCCACTGTGCTTCATTAAGTCCAGGGTCAATGCAGCCGTCTACCAGGAGATTTTGGAGCACTTCATGCTTCCTTCCACAGACGAGTTTTTATGGGGATGCTGACTTCATTTTCCAGCAGGACTTGGCACCTGCCCACACTGCCAAAAGCACCAAAACCTGGTTCAATGACCGTAGGATTAATGGGCTTGAGTGGCCAGCAAACTCGCCTGACCTGAACCCCATAGAGAATCTATGGGGCATTGCCAAGAGAAAGATGAGAGACATGAGACCGAACAATGTAGAAGAGCTGAAGGCCGCTATTGAAGCATCCTGGTCTTCCATAACACCTCAGCAGTGCCACAGGCTGATGGCTTCCATGCCACGCCGCATTGAGGCAGTAATTGCTGCAAAAGGGGCCCAAACCAAGTACTGAGTACATATGCATGCTTATACTTTTCAGAGGTCCAATATTGTTCTATGCACAATCCTTGTTTTATTGATTGCATGGAATATTCTAATTTTCTGAGATTGTGGATTTGGGGTTTTCATGCGCTGTAAGCCATAATCATCACAATTATGACAAATCACGGCTTGAACTATCTTGCTTTGCATGTAATAAGTCTCATATATTAGTTTCACCTTTTAAGTTGGATTACTGAAATAAATGAATTTTTGCACGATATTCTAATTTTTCGAGTTTCACCTGTATATTGGTTTGGCCGGTTGACTGAACAATGATATTTAATAGTTATATTCGCTGCATACAATCAGCAGGATGTGTCCAGCAGGGGGCAGTACTCCGGAGCTGTGACTCATTCCAGCAATCCTTGCTGAGACTACAGAGACTGTACACGTGTGGGCTGAGCCTTCGTCTGACCAATCACAGGCTGGGAAAGCTGGAGGTGGGTCTCCTCTCCTAATTGTTATTAGTGGCCCCATCTGGCGGGTGAGTTCACCATGCTGCCATTAACCTTCCCTCTTCACAGACAGATTCTGCTGAAAAGGAGGATCTGGTCTTCGTGCTGTAGACGGCTGGCCGCGATGTCCTCTCTGCTCATACACCAGCCGCACTATTCCTGGCTGAAGGAGCTGGGGCTGACAGAAGACAATGACGGGGTGTACAATGGGACGTGGGGAGGAAGAGGAGAGGTAGGTGCACGCCTGTGTCCCCGGACAGGTCACATGACATGTTGCCGCCAGGCCTGGAACTAACACTGGGAGGTTGCTGCACGGAGAGACGTGGCAGAGCGACGTTCATGGTCACAGTCATGTCCTCACATGAGGCCGGGATAGAAGAGCTCTGCCAGTGTCACATGCCTGTCCTCTGTATACACAGCTCCCTTCTACCTATGGAGGGCCAGGAAATCTTCCGGCAGAAGACTCGACCGCTTGTTTGTGCTGTCATTCAGATCCCATTACATGTCACTCTTCTCCAAAAATAGACCCCCTTCACAGTGCCCCCTTTGCCTGGGATGTCTCCATCGGAGTGCCCCCTTACATGAAGTGTGCCCATAAGAGTACCCTCATATTGGAGTGCCTCCTTGCATCAAGTGTGCCCATCAGAATACCCTCTTACATCGGAGTGCCCCCTTACATGAAGTGTGCCCATAAGAGTACCCTCATATTGGAGTGCCTCCTTGCATCAAGTGTGCCCATCAGAATACCCTCTTACATTGGAGTGCCCCCTTACCTCGTGTGCCCATCAGAATGCCCTCTTATATTGGAGTGCCCCCTTACATCAAGTGTGCCCATCAGAATACCCTCTTACATCAGAGTGCCCCCTTACATCAAGTGTGCCCATCAGAATACCCTCTTACATCGGAGTGCCCCTTTACATCAAGTGTGCCCATCAGAATGCCCTCTTACATCAGAGTGCCCCCTTACATCAAGTGTGCCCATCAGAATGCCCTCTTACATCGGAGTGCCCCCTTACATCAAGTGTGCCCATCAGAATGCCCTCTTACATCAGAGTGCCCCCTTACATCAAGTGTGCCCATCAGAATACCCTCTTACATCGGAGTGCCCCCTTACATGAAGTGTGCCCATAAGAGTACCCTCATATTGGAGTGCCTCCTTGCATCAAGTGTGCCCATCAGAATACCCTCTTACATTGGAGTGCCCCCTTACATCAAGTGTGCCCATCAGAATACCCTCTTACATCGGAGTGCCCCCTTACATCAAGTGTGCCCATCAGAATGCCCTCTTATATTGGAGTGCCCCCTTACCTCGTGTGCCCATCAGAATGCCCTCTTATATTGGAGTGCCCCCTTACATCAAGTGTGCCCATCACAATACCCTCTTACATCAGAGTGCCCCTTACATCAAGTGTGCCCATCAGAATACCCTCTTACATCGGAGTGCTCCCTTACATCAAGTGTGCCCATCAGAATGCCCTCTTACATCGGAGTGCTCCCTTACATCAAGTGTGCCCATCAGAATGCCCTCTTACATCGGAGTGCCCCCTTACATCAAGTGTGCCCATCAGAATGCCCTCTTACATCGGAGTGCCCCCTTACATCAAGTGTGCCCATCAGAATGCCCTCTTACATCGGAGTGCCCCCTTACATCAAGTGTGCCCATCAGAATGCCCTCTTACATCGGAGTGCCGCCTTACATCAAGCGTGCCCATCAGAATACCCTCTTACATCGGAGTGCCCCCTTGCAACAAGTGTGCCCATCAGAATACCCTCTTACATCGGAGTGCCCCCTTGCATCAAGTGTGCCCATCAGAATACCCTTACATTGGAGTGCCCCTTGCATCAAGTGTGCCCAATCAGAATACCCTCTTACATCGGAGTGCCCCCTTGCATCAAGTGTGCCCATCAGAGTACCTTCTTACATCGGAGTGCCCCCTTTGCCTGGGATGTCCCCATCGGAGTGCCCCCTTTGCATTAGGTGCGCTCATCAGAATGCCCTTTTACATCAAGTTTCCCCTTTGCCTGGGGTGTCCCCATCTGACTGCACCCTTACATCAAGTGTGCGCATCAGAATGCCCTCTTACATCGGAGTGCCCCCTTACATCAAGTGTGCCCATCAGAATGCCCTCTTATATCGGAGTGCCGCCTTACATCAAGCGTGCCCATCAGAATACCCTCTTACATCGGAGTGCCCCCTTGCATCAAGTGTGCCCATCAGAATACCCTCTTACATTGGAGTGCCACCTTGCATCAAGTGTGCCCAATCAGAATACCCTCTTACATCGGAGTGCCCCCTTGCATCAAGTGTGCCCATCAGAGTACCTTCTTACATCGGAGTGCCCCCTTTGCCTGGGGTGTCCCCATCGGAGTGCCCCCTTTGCATTAGGTGCGCTCATCAGAATGCCCTTTTACATCAAGTTTCCCCTTTGCCTGGGGTGTCCCCATCTGACTGCACCCTTACATCAAGTGTGCGCATCAGAATGCCCTCTTAGGTTGGAGTGTCCCCCTTTTCCTGGGGTGTCCCCATCGGAGTGCCCCCTTTGCATCAAGTGCGCTCATCAGAATACCCTCTTACATCAGAATGCCCCCTAGGCCTTGGGGTATCCCCGTCGGAGTGCCCCCTAGGCCTCAGGGTGTCCACATAAGTATACCCCCCTGCATCAGGTGTGCCCATCAGAGTGCCCCCTTTGCCTCAGGTGTTCTCATCACAGTGCCCTCGTACATTGAGTGCCCCCTTTGCCTGGGGCATCCCCATCGGAGTGCCCCCTTTGCATTAGGTGCTTCCATCAGAGTGCCCCCCCCCCCCCCCCGCATTGGGTGTCCCCATCAGAGTGCCCTCTTATGTTGAGTACCCTTTTTTAGCATCAGCTGTTCCCATCAGTGTGCCCCTTAATCATCAGCTGTTCCCATTGGCGTGTCCCTATTTTATCTGGCACCCCTATTACAGTATTTTTTTTTAGCTCCGGGTAGGCAAGAACTTGGAGGCAAAGCAGGCTGCAGGTGTGGATGGAGGAAGTTTGACTTCTTCCTTCTGGCATGCTGCACAGCTTGGCATGCACATGACATCATTGATAATTGGGACGCCAGAGGAAGAGGAGCTTGGGTTGGGGACTGGTTGGCTGGTGGTCGGCATAGTGCTGTCACTTTGTCCAGTTCCAAACCGCGCTCTGACATATGAGTGCTATAGAGGTTTAGGCAGAAGTGTAACAATCGTGTGAAATGTCCAGTAATCCATTCAACCTCACAGTCATGGCTTACTGCTGCAAGAACCGCAGATAATATTTGTGATTGGATTGCTGTGAGTAAATGTAAACCCCAGCTGGGTGACAGCGGTTTGCCACACACACATAAAAATACTTGTTTTCACTTTTATCATTTTGTTGCATCTTGGTTCTGCTGACCCCCTGCAGCCTTTTGCATTCACATCTTTCTACATGCATGCACTCTAGCAATGGCTGTATGGCTGTTCTCAGGATGGGTTTACTGATGGTGACAGTAGTGGACCATGCCTTCTTCATGGGCACTGACACAGCCACTTGTAGTTTCTATGGGAAATCTACATGACAACACAGAACAACTGGGAGATGGGGATAGAGTGTTGTCACCCTATACCAGGAAGATTCTGAACCTTTGTTGCAAGATCACCAGGTATTATAATGAAAGTTGTGGATGATTTAGTATAGAAGTGTGTGTCTATAGATGGAGATCTCTCATGGTGATTGGGTTGCATATACCTGAGTATCCACATCAGCATTGTTTTTTCCATACTGAATAGGCTAACAAGTGTTTTCCTTTTGATCTTTAGCTAAGTACAGCTTACATCATGCAGCACTGTCACATATGATGTTACAGATCCACCAAGTATTCCTGTTGTTAGCCCTGGATGCAGCCCTTTTTTGCAGCTGGCTCAACTTCCATTTTTTTTTTTTTCAACCCCATAAGAAGTCAGTGTTGAGTCAGTTGGATAATAGAGATGCAGAGGGTTATTATGCAGCAGTGACTCATTGCATCTAGATACGTCACAGGTAGAGACTCGTACCACTTACAATAAATTATACAGGCATTCTGTAATGTTCTGTTTTATAAGGCTCGTGGATAAGCGTTGGTTTGTAAAAATCCATTTTGAATCTTTGGTACATTGAAGTGGAATTAGTTATTCTGCCAGAAGACAAATTGATACACTGTAATATTTTCTGACATGTAGGTTTTAATCTTTTCCAAAGGGTACTAGATAATCTGGAGTAGTGGTCACCAAAATTAAAATTCTGGACCGAAACTGAAAATTCATGATGCTTGTGGCAGACAACTGAAACGGACCGTTGTATATAACAAATCCTTCTTTTTGATTTTTAATTATCATGCATTTAAATGAGTATGAATGAATTAAAACAAAAATACAATCCAGTAACGTAAAATAACTTTTATTGTAAGCACACAGAAAAATTGGACAGACCATGAAATGTATATAAAATTAAACTTAAATAGGTGTTTTTGCATTGACGTCAATAATCATCATTTGGAGTGATATATTGGGGTGTAGAGGATTAAGGGCTTGTTCACACTTGACTAAATTCTAACACTTGCCAAACAGCCCTATAGCTTTTGACAGGCATTTGGGAAGCGTTTTTAACACTCCTCAAAGGACCTATGCGTGTTTTTGAGGCGCTTGATAGGCATTTGCCAAGCATTAAAACCGCACCACAAATGCCTATAATGGAGTTTAATGGTATTAACGCTCCGCAAACACCTGACAGGCGTTTGGGGCGCGTCACCATAGACTTGAATGGGAGGCTTCAACTCTTAACTCCACATGTGGCGTCAATTTTGCCGCGACACTAATGCTTCAGTGTGAACAGCACTGTGTGCTGCCATGTGTAGAATTTTCATAGGCGTTTGAGGAGCGTTAAAAATGCTTCCATAACGCCTGCTGACATAGCTAGTATGAACATAGACTAAGAATTAAAGGCACCCACACATTTCTGCAAAAGGCAGCACATTTTTGTGCAATACAGGAAAACACTGATTTCACACATATTGCACTTGGTGTGAACAAGCCCTAATATGAACTTTGTGAGGCAGAGTTCAGTTGTCTATAGGTTGTAAACCCCATCCCCCTCCTAGCACAACCCGCCCCCCAAAGTTCCCCTCTTCCTAGCAAAATTCTGTCCCTACAGTAGTGACATCAGCAGAGAGTGGGGAGAGAGCCAGGAGGGGGTATGGGTTGTGCTCTCTCCCCCCAGCTACTCCTGAGTGATCCTCTGTTAGATCCTGTACTATGTGAGGCAGAGCACTGTAAAGTCCTGTGTACAGAAGATGCAGGGCGCTCAGCCCGCATCTCCCTCACTCTCTGTTCCTCTCTGTACTCTTACCGGCAAAACCTAAAGCTGAGCTGGCCACCCGACTTGTCAGTAAGAGTGCAGAGAGTGGGGAGGTGCAGGCTGTGCTCTGCCTCACATAATATAGGATCGAGGATCACTCAGATGAATAGACCACTATTGGTGGTTTTCCCTTTTTTTTTTTTTTTTAATTTTCAGCTGTCTGCAGGGGAATCCCGCTGACAGCTGAAATGTCATCAGTTGTCAAGGACATGTCGGCCCTGCTCCTTAACCGATAATTGCAGGTATTCTTTTGTTTACATTTCAGCTGTCTGCGGGGTAATCCTGTTGACAGCTGAAGGTATCCGTTTCTAGTTTTGGAGCATTTGCACAAGTACCGATACTCTTGCAGACGCTTAGTATCAACACCGATGACCGTATCGGTGAAGCCATACCTATAACCTTCTTTTCGGCGGCCGATATATCGGCGCATCACTACACTGGAGTGATTACAGAAGCACATTGAACTTTTACATGAATTCTTCTACACTGTCCAGACAGAATAATGAATATTTTCAATTCCCAGAAACACAATTTTTGTATTTACTCCCAACACATAAAAAAAAATCTGCGCTTTCTCATTGAAAGATTTTAAAAGGAACCAGTTGGCACCCTCAACTACAGTAATGGCAGCCCTATATTTGTATTCTTAGTTGAAGCATGTTCATTTAGCTTTCCTACCTGGTAAGTCACAGACCCAGAAGTGTGTCTGGTGGAACTCCTGATCTACATACTTGCTATTGCTCAGTGTAGCAATTGTGCATACAGAGATGGACACGGTCATCCATCTTGTTAAGAATCTTCCATTTTGTATCATTTCTACTCCCAAATCGGCTTTTTCCTCATCCCCCCCCCCCCCCCCCCCCCCCTGTTAAATGACGTGATCTGTTTGATGCAGATCACAGGCAGCAAACTCAGTGGGAGGGCATCATGGTTATAAATCCCACAACTAGCTGGTGCCCCTCTGTCTGTGAGACTCTTGCTGGAGAAGGGATTCTAAAGCCATAAGCCAAGCCTTCACTGAGCTTCAGAAGACATTCCAGGGAGTCGTAAAACAGACTTGCATTTTAAAACTCAGTTTTCCATATAATTTTATATCTGCAAATAGGAAATAATTACACAAACATGGAGCACATATTCGGATGGCTCACTTAAGACAAGTCGCCTGGTATATTACACCCCCTAGCTGAAATATACAGGAGAGCAGAAAATTATATCTCCTTAACCATTCAAGCAGATATGTCATATTTCATATCTAACTGTTCAGCAGATGTCTGCATATTAGTCTACTAGTGGCAAGGCTGCTAAATGCACCGAGAATAAGTTATGAACCATGACATCAACTGTGAAAGTTTTTGGTTCTAGCTTGGGTCTCCACCCCCCAACACCCCTCCCCAAATGAGGCGATTGGTTCTCTGCTTCGGGGAGACACCCTGCTGAGTTCCTAGAAAAAGCTGAGTTGAGCTAAGTTGAGGATTCTCTCGTTTAACATTGGAACCAACTTTGGGAGATAAGACCCTTTTGGCTCTGAAACCTGATCTGCTTAACCCAAGGCTGACTTTAACCCTCTAAACTTCTTTCTGGTATGTCTTTGCTGTGCTATTGTTTTTATATATATATATATATATATATATATATATATATATATATATTATAGGCTACATCTTTTTCTGCAAATATTTTTATTGCACCCTTCTGACCTTTTTAGTAATAAATCTTACTTTCTGAAAGTGTTGAACTGTTTCTAAAGCTCTTTAATGCAAACTAAGCACCCCTGCCTCCTGAAGAACGCTGTGTGTTTTAAACTTCGGTATATCTCTGCCTGCGGTGACAGTGGTATACAGACGCTTATGCAAACATAGTGTTATTGCTGATATTGCTGAGTTTCCTCTTTCTCTGTACAAAAAGGAGGTGGTGGCAGTGTGAAGGGTTAATTGCGTAACCTGACCCAGTAACAATCGCTCCCAGGCTTCCAGCACACCGGTTGTGGTCCATTAGCTGGAAAATCTTTGGGGTGCAGCTGGGCGTGGCATTGTTACGCACGTGACAGCACGGTTTTAGATTGGCTAGTCCTTTGGTTACGAGTTTGGGGAGAAGGGCTGGGGTCTGATGCTGCGATCGTCACACTCGGTGCCTTTGAAAGTGAAACATTGAGGATGAAATGCCATGGAGCTTAAACCTGAACAAATAAGTTGACAGTGGTAGCTCTCATATTTCTCTTTAAAGTGTTGCTAAACCCAGGATCCTGCATTCACTATATCCGGTCTCTCACAGTGTACACAACATGGAAATGCAATTATTTTAGTAAATATAAACGGCTAAATACCTTTTTCCCATCAGCAGTTAGAGCAGTCTTGTGACTTCTATCAGTGTCCAGCCGAGCACATGTTAAAGTAGTTCTAAAGGTTTTTATTTATTTTATTTTTTTTGGAAAAGAACAAACATGTCTATACTCACCTGCTATGTGCAGTTGTTTTTTGCACAGAGCAGCGCCAATCCTTCTCTTCTCGGGTCCCCTGCAGGCTCTCCTGGCCCCCCCTCCCTTCGGGTGCCCCCACACAAAGCAGCTTGCTATGGGGGCCCCGCCCCTCTCTTCTCAATGGCTCCCACTTGCTGTCTCTGCTAATGAGGAGGCAGAGACCTGAGACAACCGAGACTTCCGTGTACATCGCTGGATCACTATGAGGCTCAGGTGATGCATAGAATGCATGAAGGTAAAAACATTGAGCCTTACAACCACTTTAAAGCTTGTAGTAGTTTTTATTCTGCTGTAGGAGGATGCTGGACCCCTGGCCTGTGTGTGGATAGTGCTGACTGGCTCTGTGCTGATCACATGTACTCTCCCAGAAAAAAAAAAAAAAAGTTCTCTGCTGATCATCTCCACACACAGAGAATCTGTCAAACGGCCCTGTGTGAAAATTCTCCCTCCCAGATTCTCCAGCTCAGAGGTGGAGAATTGGGGGTGCAGCAAATGAAGATGCGGTAATTTACCGCTGCTTGATAAACTGTTTGATCTTACTGTAATCTCGCGAGATTACAGTAACAGCAGCCATTTTCTAGAGTTCTAAGCATTTGTAGATCGTTTCTCTCCTCCTCAGGAGAAGCAATCCACACCGCTTCATAAACGGGCATTCAGAGAACTGATCCTCTGAGAATGCCGGAGAACTGAGCAGCAGTCATTTACCACTGCATGATAAAAGGACACCTAAATGTGTTAAATGGGCATGTTGACTTGATTGCCTTTGTGTCTTATTCTTTGCCTGCAGTTGCAGTGCAAGAAACTTTATACTGTCCCACCGGTAGTAGCTACCCAAGCCAAGGGAAATAAGCAGAGATAAACCTTTTTTTATATTTGCTTCTTGTCACTGAATACATTAAAAGTCCTAATGTGCTTTAAAAATATAGTGAAGAGATACATGTTGTACAGGAGCTCAGGATTTTGAGGCATAACATTAATGAATAACTGCCGAAGCCTACAGGACACAATCTTTAGCTCTTTTTAAGTAAATAATTTGTAAAAAATCTTTCACCCAGACTGCTGCTTAATAAAGCAGCATAGGGTGATATCAGATTAACACTCTTTGTATTGCAATGTTCTTGGTAGAAAATCTCAACCTATACACTCCATATTGAACTGCATCAACTCAGCTTGTGTTTAAATGGAGATCGCTGTCACATGAGAATGGGGTAGAGACCGATCCATATAGAATGCAGGGATTTTCCTTGTAATGGTGAAAAACAAATCTTTTGGCAATGTGCAATAATATTGATTGTCTAAAATGGCTATGGAACATTTTAGGATGGCTTTAGTTAAAGTGGTACTCCAGGCATGCAGCTAAAATATATATATTTCTGCACTGTATTACCTGCTAAAGAATATTGATAATCCTGTCCAATTTCTTTCAGGTGGTAACATCATATTGTCCTGCAAACAATTTGCCCATTGCACGAGTTAGGCAGGTAAGAATAAATGTTGTATCCCTTGATGTGCTGTTATTGGACCACCAAATGCCCATTACTGTTTAGAAAAATTATAACCTTTTAATTGTTTCATACATCTTCATAATCTTTATAGAGCCCTGGTGCCACGTGCCTGCATGCAGCCCTTGGACCCCATCAGTGGGAATGTTTTTATTTTGAGAAAACTGTAATGGTAGTGAGCTCTAGCAGTCTCATGTAACCTGTCTACAGTCTCTTGCAATTGGTCTCCTTTCTCCATCCACCTCTGGTCTCTGACTGTCTTCTGGTGTGAACAGGCAGTCCTTGAGTTACAAACATCTGACTCGTACTTAAAACAGGCAGTGTCATATCACGCTAGTCCCGGAAGCTGCCAGGCGGCCATCTTGCTGCTCACAGCATGCTGCCACCTAATTTATGGCGGACCTGTTAGCAATCCCACATCCCTGCTTGGCCAGTTAACCCTTCCCTGTGCTATCCAAAACTTAAAAGTAATTTTTTTGGCTGGAATTACTTAAAAATGTACCTCTTCCAGTTTACATACAAATTCAACTTAAGAACAAACCAAAAACGTGCTAGGACCCCATATAAGTGGTGCATGGCAGCTAGCACTATACTCCGATAGAAAGTACTGAAATATATTCTAGGTGCAGTGCTATGAAAGTGCAAATAAACAAATTTTAATAGTGCCTAAAAAAAAAGTTGAATAACCCAGGACAAAAAATTGTTCTTCCCAGAGTGCAACAAAAGGAGGAAAGACGTAAGTTCCAGCGAACCTCCACACAGACTGCACACCACCTCAAGAGGGGGGTTGTGGGAATAACATGACCTGCAATCAAGGGTGACCAAGTAGTGCTCTATATAAACTCCAAGGCAATCAGCTTTGCTCCAGTAGCATGACAGGCATCCACACCCCTATATCTGTACTCTGTTTCGAAGCTCAGCCACTCAATAAATTCATACAGAACTAACATCATAAGAGAGAAAAAGAAAGTCCTCATCTTGGGCTTGTTTTGATCAGTTTCAACAGTCAGGGTCCTAAAGTTTATTACAATTTATGCAGAGCTTTACATATATGTTGTACATTCACATCAGGCCCTAATCCTCAAGGGGCGTACAATCTAAGGGGTCCCTAACTTACATTCATACATACACATACTAGGGCCAATTTTAGACGGGATCCAATTAACTTACAGCATGTCTTTGGAGTGTGGAAGAAAACTGGAGTACCCAGAGGAAACCTACGCAGGCACAGGGAGAACATGTAAACTCCAGGCAAGTGGTCTCATGGTTGGGATTCGAACTAACGACCCTAGTACTTAGATTTATTGTGATCACTATTGCAGTCAAGGTTGTAATGTCGTCCTGTAGGTCCCCTAGATAATAGGGTTTATATACAAAAACTAGAGTGCAAAATCTGGCACAGCTGTGCATGGTAGCCAACCATTGGTGATTGCAATAGATCTAAGCAACTATAGGACCCTGACTGTTAGAACTGATCAAAACAAGCTCTGTTGCTTCATTGCAAGACCATGAGCATTTTTTTTTTTCTCCTATGATTTTGGTTCTGTTCAGTATGAATTTGAGAGGCTGAGCTTCGAACCAGAGTACGGATATAGCAGTGGGGAAGCCTGTCGTGCTGCTGGCGTAAAACTGATTGCCTTGGAGTTTTAGAGTGCTACTTAACCATGCTTGGTTGGGGTTCATAATATTTCACTAAGCCCCCCTCTTGTTGCACTGAGGTAGTGTGTGGAGGTCTGGAGGTTAATTGGGACTTGCATCTTTCCCCATTTTGTTGCACTCTGTGAAGATTTTCCTTGGGACTTTTTTACTTTCTTTTTTTTGTATTTGATTATATAGATTTTTTTTTTCCACATAATTTGAAGTGTGTGTGTGCGCCAGTGTGTGTGTGTGTGCGCCAGTGTGTGTGTGTGTGCGCCAGTGTGTGTGTGTGCGCCAGTGTGTGTGTGTGCGCCAGTGTGTGTGTGTGCGCCAGTGTGTGTGTGTGCGCCAGTGTGTGTGTGTGCGCCAGTGTGTGTGTGTGCGCCAGTGTGTGGTGCGCGCGGCCAGTGTGTGTGCGCGCCTGTGTGTGTCTGTGTGTGTCTGTGTGTGTCAGTGTGTGTGCGGCGCCAGTGTGTGTGTGTGCGCGCCAGTGTGCGTGTGTGCGCGCCAGTGTGGTGGTGTGGGCGCCAGTGTGCGTGGGGGTGGCGCCAGTGTGCGTGTGTGCGCGCCAGTGTGCGTGTGGGGGTGGGGGTGTGTGCGCGCCAGTGTGCGCGCGCCAGTGGGGTGGCGTGTGGGGGGGGGGGGTGTGTGGGCGTGTGTGCGCGCCAGTGTGGGGTGTGGGTGGGGTGTGTGTGGGGGTGGGTGTGGGGGGGGCCAGTGTGTGTGTGTGCGGGCCAGTGTGTGTGTGGGCGTGCGCCAGTGTGGGGTGTGTGTGCGTGCGCGCCAGTGGGTGTGTGTGTGCGCGCGCCAGTGTGTGTGTGTGTGTGGCGCGCCAGTGTGTGTGTGTGGGGCGGGGGGTGTGTGTGGGGCGGCGCCAGTGGTGTGTGTGTGTGTGGGTGGGGGGCGCGCCAGTGTGTGTGTGTGTGCGCGGGGGGGGGGGGGGGGTGGGGTGTGTGTGTGCGGGCGGGGGGGTGTGTGTGTGTGGGGGCGGCCAGTGTGTGGGTGCGTGCGGGGGGTGTGTGTGGGTGGGTGGGCGCGGGGTGTGTGTGTGTGTGTGCGCGGGCCAGTGTGTGTGTGTGCGCGCGCCAGTGTGTGTGTGTGTGCGCGCGCCAGTGTGTGTGTGCGCGGGCCAGTGGTGGTGTGTGTGTGTGTGTGGGTGCGTGGGGTGTGTGGGTGTGTGTGTGTGGGGGGGGCGCCAGTGTGTGTGTGTGTGTGTGAGGTGCGGCGGGGGTGGGGGTGTGTGTGTGGGGGGCCAGTGGGTGTGTGGGTGCGCGCGCCAGTGTGTGTGTGCGCGGGGGTGTGTGTGTGTGTGCGGCGCCAGTGTGTGTGTGCGCGCGCCAGTGTGTGTGTGGCGCGGTGTGTGTGTGCGCGCGCCAGGGTGTGTGTGCGCGCGCCAGTGTGTGTGGTGTGGGCGCGCTGGGCCAGTGTGTGTGTGTGGGGCCAGTGTGTGTGTGTGCGCGCGTGTGGGGGTGTGTGTGTGCGGGCGTGTGTCAGTGTGTGTGTGTGCGCGCGTGTGTCAGTGTGTGTGTGCGCGCGTGGGGTGTGTGTGTGTGTGCGCGGGCCAGTGTGTGTGTGTGTGTGTGGGGCGGGGGGGGGGGGTGTGTGTGTGTGTGGGGTGCGCGCGCCAGTGTGTGTGTGTGTGTGTGTGCGCGCGCCAGTGTGGTGTGTGTGTGTGTGTGTGCGCGCGGTGTGTGTGTGTGTGTGCGCGCGTGGGGTGTGTGTGTGGTGTGCGCGCGTGGTGTGTGTGTGTGTGTGCGCGCGCCAGTGTGTGTGTGTGTGTGCGCGCGCCAGTGTGTGTGTGTGTGTGTGCGCGCGCCAGTGTGTGTGTGTGCGCGCGGTGTGTGTGTGCGCGCGCCAGTGTGTGTGTGCGCGCGCCAGTGTGTGTGTGCGCGCGCCAGTGTGTGTGTGTGTGTGTGCGCGCGCCAGTGTGTGTGTGTGTGTGCGCGCGGGGTGTGTGTGTGTGTGTGCGCGCGCCAGTGTGTGTGTGTGCGCGCGCGGGGGTGTGTGTGTGTGTGGCGCGCGCGCCAGTGTGTGTGTGTGCGCGCGCGCGCCAGTGTGTGTGTGTGCGCGCGTGTGTCAGTGTGTGTGTGTGCGCGCGTGTGTCAGTGTGTGTGTGTGCGCGCGTGTGTCAGTGTGTGTGTGTGCGCGCGTGTGTCAGTGTGTGTGTGTGTGCGCGCGCCAGTGTGTGTGTGTGCGCGCCAAAAGTATTGGGACACCTGCCTTTATCGCACATGAACTTTAAGGGCATCCCAGTCTTAGTCTGTAGGGTTCAATATTGAGTTGGCCCACCCTTTGCAGGTATAACCGCTTCAACTCTTCTGGGAAGGCTGTCCACAAGGTTTAGGAGTGTGTCTATGGGAACGTTTGACCATTCTTCCAGAAGCACATTTATGAGGTCAGGCGCTGATGTTGGACGAGAAGGCCTGGCTCACAGTCTCTGCTCTGATTCATCCCAAAGGTGTACTATCAGGTTGAGGTCAGTGCTCTGTGCAGGCCAGTCAAGTTCCTTCACTCCAAACTCGTGCATCCATGTTTATATGGACCTTGCTTTGGGCACTGGTGCACTCCCCTGTCCCTGCTGAAGAAAAGCATCTCCACAACACGATGCTGCCACCACCATGCTTCTCGGTGGGGATGGTGTGTGTTCAGGGTGATGTGCAGCGTTAGTTTTCCACCACACATAGCGTTTTGCTTTTAGGCAAAAAGTTCCATTTTGGTCTCATCTGACCAGAGCACCTTCTTCCGCATTTTTGCTGTGTCCCCCACATGGCTTCTCGCAAACTGCAAATGGGACTTATGGCTTTCTTTAAACAATGGCTTTCTTCTTGCCACTCTTCCATAAAGGCCAGATTTGTGGAGTGCACGACTAATACTTGTCCTGTGAACAGATTCTCCCACCTGAGCTGAGCATTTCTGCAGCTTCTCCCAGAGTTACCATGATGCCTCCTGGCTACTGATCAATGTTCTCCTTGCCTGGCCTATCCATTTAGGTGGACAGCCATGTCTTGGTAGGTTTGCAGTTGTGCCATACTCTTTCCATTTTCAGATGATGGATTGAACAGTGCTCTGTGAGATGTTCAAAGCTTGGGATATTTTTTTTAGAACTTTACCCTGCTTTTAAATTTCTCCAACTTTATCTCTCACCTGTCTGGTGTGTTCCTTGGCCTTCATGATGCTGTTTGTTCACTAATGTTCTTTAACAAACCTCTGAGGGCTTCACAGAACAGCTGTATTTATACTGAGATTGAATTATACACAGGTGGAGTCTATCTACTAATTAGATGACTTCTGGAGGCAATTGATTCCACTAGATTTTAGTTAGGGGTATCAGAGTAAGGGGGCTGAACACAAATGCACACAACACTTTTCAGATATTTTATTTTTAAAAATTATTGAAAACTATTTATCATTTTCTTTCCACTTCTCAATTATGTGACACTGTATTGGTCTATCACGTAAAACACATTTTACATTTTTGGTTATAACATGACAAAATGTGGAAAATTGCAAGGGGTATAAATGCTTTTTCAAAGAACTGTTCTACTTCATGGCTGAGATTCAGTTGTTCCCAGTTGCTTTCACTTTGTTATAATACCACTAACAGTGGACCATGGAATATTTAGTAGCAAGGACATTTCAGATAGGTTCCCACCTGTGCAATACGTTTATCACGGTACTATGCTTGAATTCACTGAGCTCCTGAGTTACCCATTCTTTCACACATGTTTGTAGAAGCAGTCTGTATTCTTCAGTGCTTGATTTTATACACCTGTGGCCATGGAGGTGTTTTGAACACATGAATCCAATGATTTGGAGGGGTGTCCCAATACTTTTGGCATGTGTGGTGTTTGTGTTTTTTTTTTTTTTTTTTTTTTTTTTTTTTTACATTTTGGCACTTTTAAAATGTATGTGTATTTCTATTATCTAAGAGCAAACCCACAGAACCCATCTTCATAATCCAGGGACTGCCTGTATATTGAAACTATGTGCGGCCTCTTGGTGACATCAGGGCCACATTTGGGGTCCCTTGTACCTCATGGTTGGCAGTTGCTGATCTCTAGGTTCTTGCATAGACTGTGCACAATTATTAGGCAAGTTGTGTTTAATGTAATTATTGAACTATAGTGCTCTTGGTCATTCCAAAATCTCGAAACTGTATATTTAAGAAAGTAAAAAAATGAGGTTTTGGCATGCAGAATTATTCTGTAACTAATTGAAAAACAACATTTTTCCTATTTCAGATTTATTTTCAATCTGTTAAAACTCAATTTACAAATAAACCTTTGTTACATTTAAAAAAAAAAAAAAAAAAAAAAAAAAATGTGCCTAATATAGCCACCCTTACTTTTTTTAATAACTCCATTCATGGAGTCTGTTAGTTTCTTGATCTGTTGCCAATCAACCATTTTTGTGCAGCACCACAGCCTCCCAAACACTGTTCAGAGAGGTATACTGTGTGTGTGTGTGTGTGTGGTTTTTTTTTTTTTTTTTTTTAAGAAGGCCCACAAATTCTCAATAGCATTTAGGTCAGGTGAGGAAGGAGGCCATGTGTAGTCCATCTTCAACCTGAAATGTCCAATTAGCTCATCTTTAACAATACCAGTACACCACCTCCCACCTTGCTGGCTTCTGAATCAAAGTACTGATCCAGTCACGGGCCCTTCCATCTGGTCCAACAAGAATTGCTCTCATCTCATTGTTCCATAAAACCTTTGAAAACCTGTCTTCAGATATTTTTTGGCCCAGTCTTGACGTTTCAACGTGTGTCTTGTTCAGTGGTGGTCAGGTTTCAGCCTTACTTACCTTAGCCATGTCTCTAAGCACTGAACACCTTGTACTTCTGGGCACTCCAGGTAGGTTGCATTTCTAGAATATGACATCACTGGAGGATATTGGGTTCCTGGTAGCTTCACGGTTTTTGATTCTTCTCAGATCTTTGGCAGGCAATTTTGCATCCCCCTTTTTTTTTTTTTTTTTTTTTTTTTTTCTTATGACCTTGTTTACTATTTGCAACAAAACGTTTGATTCTGTGATCACACCCCAATATCCTGGTAATTTCAAGAGCGCTGCATCCCTCTGAAAGACTTTTTACAATTTTGAGGAAAAGAGGCTGCCTAATAATTATGCACACCTTGATATAGGGTGTTGATCTCCTTAGGCCGCACCCTCCCTCATTACACAAATGCACATCACCTGATATGCTTAAATCCAATAAGCATTCAAGTTTATACTGCTTGGAGTTGGATAATATGCATAAAAATGTTGATTTTGGTCAAAATACTCGCTTGCCTAAAAATTGTACCATAAGGGTACCATTATATTCTGTTTGTTTGTTTGATCAGTCGATTTTAAACACACTCCTTTTCTCAAAACACAGCATTAGCAGTGTAAAAAACATTAGGATGTGTAAAAATTTTCCCTTGCTGCAGCAAACTACCCTACTTTTGCCTACACATATAAATTCACACTGGGGATCAGATAAGTGGGACTGTGAGCTATACAGGTAGTGTAAAAAAAACCCTGAACTGAAGCGCCTCGTAAATCAAAGTTGAGTCGTCTGCAATAATCACTGATGATAAATTATTCCAATCATTTATGTCCATGCTTGACAATCCATCTAGTGAAAGGATATGATGGATTGTTCTGTTTCTGTATATCAGAGAGGCAGTCCCTCTATACATAGAAGCAGCAAGGAAGTGCTCACAAACACCAGCAATGCGTTTTTAAAGGAAATCCCTCAATATCATATAAAGTATATGTCGATCAAGTCCTAAAGGTGGAATAAAATGCTTGAATCAACAACTAATATCTCAAATGGGATTTAGAATCTGTCAATAGGGAAGTCTTGCAAAGAGCTGACACAACATGTCTCTATAACGCTGCATAAACCAATGCAGTATAGCTTTATGGCTCAAATCTATATCCCATCCAAGTAAACTATGCAAGGTTTAGCATACATAAGATGCAGTGGCTATGCTTGCATGTGTCCAAATAAAAGCATCACAAGGATGACAAAGGTGCAGACATCCTGCTTTACATTAAGTGGGTAAAGATATGGTCTTGCCAAAGATGGTAGACAACGTTGGAGGGACCTAGTCAGTTAGACAGCAACAAATGGGTCCTTTTGTGAAAATGCCACACAATGCTGATGCGTTTCACTATGGAGGGCTTCTTTACTTAGTATAGCCTACTTTTTGATATCCAGTTATTTTTTATTAAGGAATAGGCACCTGATACATTTGCTTGATAAACGCCAACCGATGAGTTTGTACAGGTTGATGAAAGCATGGATAAGGCAGAAACGGCTAGTTTCTTATTTTTCTGTTTTTTGTGTCCTTGTTAACTTCAGGCCACTCTTGAAGAGTACAATGAAACGGTTATCAAGGCTAAGGAGGCCTGGCAGGTCTGGGCTGATGTAAGTATAACAGACATTGGTACACTTACGGCCTGGCAGGTCTGGGCTGATGTAAGTATAACAGACATTGGTACACTTACAAAATGTTTCCTAATGTTTTTAATGTGTCATGAATGGTGCCTTTTATTCATTGTATTGGAGTAGTGCTGGACACCTCTATGACACTTCATATCTGTCTGTAGATCATCTTCAATAAATCATTCCTTTTTTAGATAATTCTTAAAGTGTATGTGCACCCTTACCTTGTAAAACAACCCATTCAGTTTCAAATGGAATGCAAGGCAAAACATTTGTGTATGTATAGGAAAATATATACCACTTGTTTTTCTTGTTTTGCAATTGATCACATAATCTCTGTTCTTGGCTGCATAAAATGGAGAAATAGCATTACACTGATCTTCCCAGTGAATGGCTGTGCGGGGAGGGGGGGGGAGGTGTCAGCTAAAGTCTGACCATTGGAGGACAGACAGGTGGTGCTCTCAGCACAGACGGAAAAAACTGACCATGCTGAAATGGATGTGCTTCTATGACTAGTGTGGTCAGTTTGATACAGAAAAGCAGACGGACTGGCAGGATCATCAGGTATTTCCTACAGAGGAAGCAATATATAGAGAACATGATACTTTTTAACAGGTGTACATGGTACAACAGGCATATAATCCAGAATATGAAATGTTGGGCTAACATCCTTTAAGTGCGGTAGTCCCTAAACGGGCAGTTTGAATCAATTTCTAATGGGTTTTAACTTCAGCAGCATGACTTACGGTTGATTTAGTATGGTTTACTGTACAAAGAAACCCTGTCACCAGACAAAGCATGTAGTAAACTGCAAAAACAAAATTGGACCCCTGCTGGAAAATATAGTGTGCTAGTATGCATTGGTGAGACTGCTGCTGATCTATGACATGGAGAAAGGAAGCTGCGTTGTGGAACTGACCAGTCAATATTGCTACTTTGCTAACCTGTCCAAAGGCATGTCGCAAGTGATATATAAAATCTTTTATTGAAAAAGAAAAATTCTGCAAATAAGTATTTAAAATACTAGATTGTGCTTTTTCCTGTAATTTTTTATTTTTGTCAGTTATTGTTGACACTACACAACAACATGTGTGCTAGCTCATAAATACAATATAAGTAACGTGTGCTATTACAATTGGTCAGAACATGCTAAACACATTTAAATGTGGCACAGTCTGTGATGGCAAACACAGTAGCTATATGCATGACATGTGAATGTGGAAAATGAGCTGCTTTAATGTCCACTTTGCAGGTAATAAGGCACACCATTTATAGTATATAAACTTTAGGTGTGACCCTCTTAATTGCTTGCTTGTATTATTTTTTTTATTTTTTTTTTTTCTTCCCCGTTTCTGGTTCACGAATGTGGCTAACTTTTTGTTTAGGTTCCTGCTCCAAAACGTGGAGAAATAGTGAGACAGATTGGCGATGCACTCCGAAAAAAGATCAGCGTTCTTGGACATCTGGTATAGTAAATAAAACAATAAGTCCCGCTTAAATGCAGTATATGAAGTTGCATAATTAGACCAATGGAACTGGTATCTGAGAAAAAGATATATATAATTATGTTGTCACTGATAGTAGGGACTGTGGTTTGAGGAACCCATGTTAGACTGCGGATGTACTAATGGCCACTTATCACCAATCCATTAGCTGGTCTAAAGCATTGAATTTTCTTATAGCTGATGTGGCAGTGCTGATTAAAACTGAAGCAATAAAGTTTAAGGGAAAAAAAAAAGCAGCCATTCTGTTATTGGCTTTAATTTTTTTAACCTTTCCAGAAAGATAGCACATGAAACATATTATAGACCTATACTTTGACTTCTTCCCTCAGTGTTTATGAAATCCTCCTTTCATCTGTCGTGTACATTGCTAAAATGCCTCTTGTGAAAACCGTTGCATATTTGCCTGAAGAAATGGCCTGTGTCCTTCCAAAAGCTTACACTACAGTCTATTTAGGAAGCCAATACACTCTATCGCCCTAGATCCAAAAAAACGTTAACTTGGAGAGAGATATATGGCAGTGACTTGTATTTCAAAAAATGCAACTTGGTTTTTAAAATGTATTCCCGTCTGTAGAAAATACTGCCTACTCTCAATTTAATCCTACTGCTGTAAAATTCAATGCAATATGGCAACCTGGGGGGTGTTTTTGTACACCATTGGTGTACATAATGTCCCCAGAAATGTCATTTTTTCTCCCTGTGTGATTTGGCTCATTGATTTTTTTTTCCCAGAAGTCTACACTGGGATACAAGTAAAGTTTATAGGCACCCTTGTAATAGGAATTTCAGTTTTGGTTAGATACTCCCCAAGGGTTAAATACTTCTAAAGGTATGCAGGACCATGCTGCTTTTCCCACTAGAATCCTGAGAGTGCATTGACTGAACAAAGATTATGATTGTGAGGGTCTCCTTAATTTCAAAGGGCATAGTGAAACAAATGACTACTTCAGAACAAAAAGTTAGAAAAATGCTACAGAGTTTATAAAAAAAATCCCTTCAATGTTCATTGATTTGGGTCAGAAAGGATTGTGGGTTTTTCCCCTACCGTCTTTCAGGCCAGCACTCTGAGAGACCTCGGCTCCTCCCCATCTGAGGAAAACACCTCCACCTACAATAAAAAAGCTCCACTCCCCTCTGACCCCAGTTCAGGTGTTTCCTCCGGTGGGGAGACACGAGGAGGCGCAGGAAGACGATAGGGGGGAGCCAGCGAGGGCCGGATAGCCGGCTGTGAGGCCCGACGCGCAGCCGGGGCTGTGAAGGCCGGGAGTGTCCGGCTGCATTATCCTCCCAGGGCAGGCTGCCAGCAGTGAGAGTGCATCCCGGGGGACGGGACAGGGCACTTACCTGCTCTTCGCCCCCCCGACCCCCTCCGGCGAGGGGGGGCGTCGGGGGGTGGCCGTGGTGAGTCTGGGGAGGATCGGGGGGGAGTTCCGCTCCTTCCCATGCTGGCGGTCTGAGGGCTTTGCCGGGCCCCCGGACGTCGGGAGACGGCGGTTTCCGGCGGAAGGGGCGGGGCTTCGCCCAGGACCGCGACTTCCGCTTCCGGTCGCGGCCTTCACACCACAGCGGCGCGAAATTCAAAAGTGGCGGTGCGGTGCACAGCGGTCTGGGGGACAGACCTGCACCAGGGCGACCACCCTCCGGTTATACGGGATGTCGAAGGCACCGGGGACCAGGAGATGCCAGCAACACCAGCCAGTCACAGGTAAGGTGCCTCAGTGGAGGCCTCCCCTACCTGTGGGCCCTAGCAGTGGGAAAGGTAGGGCAAGGGGACCTGCGGTTAACATTTTTTTTCAGGCCCTTGTTTGCTCTGCCGGGAAGCAGGGGGGGGGGGGGGTGTTTTGTGTCGGACTGATTGGGCTTCCCTCCTCCCCCTTTTCTTTTGTGTCTTTCAGGGCAAGGCCCGGGCTAAACTTAGGCACCAGGAGCCCAAGCGGGAGATGCCCTTCCTGTAAGGAGGTTTTAAAAGAATCTTGGCGAAAAGGTTCTTTGTGGCCCATGTATACAGAGGTTTGGTAGAGGGAGGAGAAGCCGGAACAGGGGGGGACCTAGCCAGGTCAGTGAATGGAGTTGGCTACCACCTTCGACTCCTTCAAGTCCCTCATGGAGAGGTTTTACCCTCCCATTACCTACACTCCCCCCCCCCCCCCCAGGTGGCTTCGGTGAGTCGTCGGGAACCCCTTATGACCGGGGAGGAACCAGTGTGGGGGGACTCCCAGTCTGAGGAGGATATCAGCGGGTGAGGGTCCCTCGGAGGAAGGGAGGGGCCCCTCCCAGTATAAGTTGACCCTGAAGGAGGTTGATGAGCTCCTGGGGGCTATATACGAAACCCTGGACATTAAGGAGGAGGTTAAGGCCTTATCTCTCCACGACCAGATGTATCAGGGATTGGAGGAGCACCAGCACAGAATGTTTCCTGTGCATGACATTTTGGTAGACACGATTAAGAAGGAGTGGCAGGACCCGGAAAGGAAACCGTTCTTCTCAAAAGCGTTGAGAAGGAGGTTTCCGTTTTCGGAAGACCCGGAGGCGGTCTGTAACAAGAGCCCCAGGCTAGACGCGGTCTTTTTTCCCCCAAACGACCAGGAGAACTGACCTAGTGTTTGAGGACATGGGGGTCTTACCAGACTTATTGGACAGAAGGGCGGAGTCTCTCCTTAGGAAGGCCTGGGACTCTCGACCCTGTACAACCTGAAGCCGTAGGCCATGGCTACGACAGTGGTAGCCAGGAACTTAGAGTATTGGCTTACGCAATTACAGGCCCATATTGTGGCAGACTCTCCCAAGGAAAAAATCTTGGCCTCTTTTGAGACCCTTTTGCAAGGAGTGGGGTATATATTGCGGATGCTTCCGCAAGAGTCGGTGAGAATTGGGGGCCAGGTCTGCTGCCCCGACCAATTCAGCCAGAAGGGCGCTGTGGCTAAAGACATGGCAGGGGGACATCACTTCTAAAGTAGGCTATGCGGCATCCCCCTCACAGGAGATTGTCTGTCTGTTCGGCGGCCCGGGGGTTGGAGGAATTATTGGACCGGACAGCTGATAGGAAAAGTCCTTCCCCCTCAAGAGGAAAAATACAGGAGGGGGGGACACGGAAGGCCCGCCCGGCAAAGAGGCTGAGCCTGCGACCGCCTGGTCAGGGTAGGTCGACTGGACAGAGAGGTAGGGGAAGAGGGGGAGCAATTTTTCGCCCTCCTGAGCAGCCCCAAAAACCAAGGTGACTTGGTTCCTCCTGTGGGGGGAAGATTGGCGGCATTCCTCCCACAGTGGGAAGCCGTGGTCACCAGCCCCTTCATTTTGGATGTCGTTCCGAAAGGGGTTACCGGTTAGAATTTCTGAGACCGCCACCCGAGACTTTTCTGTTGACGACCCGTCCAAGGGATCCGACGAAGGACGCGGCTCTGGTGGGCGCTTTGGAGATTCTAGAGTCCCAGGGGGTCATCTCCAGGGTTCCAGTAGCGGAGCGAGGGAAGGGAGTTTATTCCCCATGTGTTTTGTGGTTCAAAAGCCGTCTGGGCGTTCAGACTGATTTTGAACCTGAAACCCTTGAACAAGTCAGTGCGTTACCGGAGGTTTCCGCATGGACTCCATTTTTACAATCAGGTCCCTAATCCCCACCAGGTGCATTCATGGCATCCATAGAAGACTTGAAGGACGCCTACCTACACGTGCCCGTGGCGGAAGCCTCTCAGAGGTTCCTCAGGTTGGCAGTGGGGGGGGAGGAAGGAATTCGACACTGGCAGTTCTGGGCTCTTCCATTCGGCCTTTCCTCCTCGCCAAGAGTATTCACCCAAGGTTCTGTCGGAGGCACTGATTTCTATCCGCTTAAGGGGGATTTCAAGTGGTGGCCTCATCTGGACGATTTTGCTGCTCTTTCGCGGATTCAGAGGCTCACTTACGGCGGCAAGACCTGGTTATAGTGAGGAAACCATCTGGAAAGCTTGTTGGGGTGGATTTTTGAATCTGGAGAAGTCCTGCCTGGTGCTTTCACAGAAGGTGATTTACTTGGGCTACGCTCTAGACTCGGTAGACCAAAAGACCAGCCTGAACTTTGGAAAAAGGTCACCCAAGTTGGAGGCCGGAGTCAGATTACTGCAGGGGAGCAGGTCGATCCGACCATAAGACAGGCCATGTCGGTACTTGGATTGCTGACAGCGTCCATTCCGGCGGTTCTCAGTGGGCAGGTCTGCATATGCGTCCCTCCAGTTGTGGATCCTGAGGGTTTGGGACAGGAAGTGTCCACTTCCCTAGAACGCAGGGTCTTGGTTGCCCCCCCCCCCAGTGTGAAAAGGTCTCTATGGTGGTGGAGGAGATCGTCAGCATAACTCAGGGGCTGTTGTGGTGCTTTCTGATTTCCGCGGAGGTCACTACGGATGCCAGGCGCCAGGGGCCTGGGGAGCCACCTGGGAAATTTAGTGACTCAGGGGGAATGGTCCTTAGGGCAGAAGGGCAAATCCTCGAATTGGAAGGAATTGAGGGCAGTGTGGGAGGCTCTGCACTCCTTCCAGGCGGGGGGGGTCATGGGCCAGCACGTGCGTTGTCCTGACGGGACAACGAAATTGCCACGGCTGAGTGGCCTTATATATAACAGGCAGGGGAGGGGCGCGGAGCAAGGCCCTCGGGGCCCTTAGCGGCGACACTCTGTTGTCCTGGGCCAGAGCTGAATTTGGCGTCCCTGTCTGCGATACACTTAAAGGGGGAGCTGAACCAGAAGGCGACTTCCTGAGCAGGACTCGGCTCATGGGACAAAAAGGAGTCTTGGAATGGGCCTTGAACCCCGATGTCTTTCAGGAGATTGTGCGAAGGTGGGGATCCCCGGATGTGGACCTTTTTGCCTCCGGACGGAAGGAACAACAAGGTCCAAATTTCTTCTCTCTATCCCGCTGGGACGGGTCCAGAGCGGTGGACGCATTAGGTCAGAGGTGGGACTTAACCGGCTTTTGTTACGCCTTTTCCCCCGGTTCCCTTGCTCCCCCTGGTCCTGAGGAAATTCAGGACAGAGGGGACCTCGTTAATCCTGATAGCTCCCTTCTGCCGCGGCGGCAGTGGTTTTTGCCGACCCTAAAGTGTTTGGGCCTCTCGTCCACCCTGGGAGCTGCCACCAAGAGAGGATTTGTTAACACAGGGGCCGGTTCTTTTTGCCCCAGCGTAGGAAGATTGCGGTTAACGGCCTGGTTCTGAAGCAGCAGCTCCTCTTAGAGAAGGGGTTCTCGCCTAGGGTGGTGGCGACATTTACTGGCCAGTAGGAGGAGGAGGACCCAGGCCATTTATGGTAGGGTCTGGGGTTGCTTTACAGCCTGGTGTGAACGGAAAACAGTGGCAACCCATAGTTTGGTTTCTGTATTGGAATTCCTGCAGGTGGGAGCGGACAAGGGATTGTCTGTCTGTCGGCACGCTCAAGGGCACAGGTCTCGGCCCTCAGTGTGTGTCTTGGAGACGCCCCTGGCCATGGGAGGCGTTGGTGAGTAGGGTTTTCAAAGCTCTGGTGAGGCAGAGGCCTCCGATGGTCCAGACCATTTCCCAATAAAAAGGTGTGGGATTTGGCCAAGGGTGCTCGGGGGGATGACTAGGGCTCCGTTCGAGCCCTTGGAGTCCTGTCCGATAGGTGAGCTCACCATTAAAACGGGCTTTTCTGGTGGCGATTACCACGGCGAGGAGGGTGTGTGAGATGGAGGCCCTCTCGATCAGAACAACCTTTATCTCGTATTTTTTCAGACAGGATCGTTTTCAGACCAGACCCGTCCTTCATTCCGAAGGTAGCTCGGAGTTTCCAGAGGGAACAGGACATTGTCCTTCCCGCGTTTTTTCCTGACCCGGTGGGGGTAGATCAGGAGAGGTATCATTGTTTAGATGTCAGAAGGTGCGTTTCTCCAGTATTCTAGAGAAATCTAGGGAGTTCAGAAAGCACCGAATCCCATTTTTGTTTTTTTTTTAAGGGGGCTAGAAGAGGCAAGAAGGCGTCTAGAAGGACGCTGGCCAGCTGGCTGAGGCTAGCGATTGCAGGAGCGTATCAGGCAGAAGGCCTGGAGGTCCCGGAGGGAATCAAGGCACATTCCACCCGAGCTGTGGCGGCTACCCAGGCAGAGTTAGCAGGGGTTTCCCCAGGGCAGATTTGCAGAGCGGCAACTTGGTTCCAGCTATGAACACATTTGCCAAGCATTACAGACTGGACCTGGTCTCGGTGCAGGAGCAGGACTTTGGTCGTAAGGTCTTACAAGCAGTTAGCCCGCCCGAAGGGTGAGTACTTGCTTATCCTCTCAGAGTGCTGGCCTGAAAGACGGTAGGGGAAAAACCAAGTTACACTTACGGTAATGTCTTTTCCAGGGAGTCTTTCAGGCCAGCACCGGTTTCCCACCCACTGTTGATATTGGTTATGTGAAGATGGTACTTATTATGATTATGTTGTCTCGCATTGTGTCTGCCCCAGATGACCGGAGGATGCTTGGAGAACTGAGGTCAGAGGGGAGTGGAGCTTTTTTATTGTAGGTGGAGGTGTTTCCTCAGATGGGAGGAGACCGAGGTCTCTCAGAGTGCTGGCCTGAAAGACTCCTGGAAAAGACGTTACCGTAAGTGTAACTTGGTTTTTTTTTTTTCCCAGTGGATGTGAAAAAAAGACTCTTTACACAATTTGTTTGTAATCTGACATCCTCCCTGTAGCTGTAACCACTTTAAATCTTAAGTACAGCCAAAGCCACAAACAGAAGAATAGCACAAGGGACATAACGTGCAAGTCTGTAGGATGTGCCCCTTGTGCTGATTCCTTTTTTGTTTAGTATGGCTTCTATGAATGGCAGATCTTAGTTGTAATGGGTGAGCATAGTCAGGCTTACTTGATGACAGCCTCCTAGTTGTATCAACCCCAGCCACACTGGAGGTTTGGGGTCATGAGGGGAAGGGGAGGGGTTGGGGCTGTAAGGACAGAGGATGATTTTCATTAACAGAAGAGGAATCCGCACAAAGCACATATCATACTGACTGTTATGTCCCTTGTGATTTTTGGCTTTAACCACCTTGTGCCCGGCCACTATAGAGATGTTTATGTGGCAAGGTGGGAGCTTCCTCATTTTGAGAGGACATAAGAGTACAATTCAAAGAATTGTAGCAAAAAAATACAACTTCAAAAATGTCACCATGCTTCTTACTAAATGCCTTTTTTAGACTGCCTATTTGTCAAAAAGTGGTCATTTTGGGAGTATTTGTACTGTCCTGGCATTTTAGGGCCTCAAGAATTCTGACAGGCAGTCCGAACATCAGGAGTTATCAATTTTCAAATATGTATAATCTATTATTATGTACCAAAGTTTGTAGACTTTATAGCTTTTACACAGCACACTAAATAATATACAACTATTTTTGTGTTTATGTTGGATTTTTTTTTTTTTTTAAACAAGGAAATGTAACGGCATACATTTTTGGCCTAAAATTATCAAGAAAGGTTGGTGGTTGTTTGCAAATTTTTTATAGCAGAAATGCTAGGTGAAACCAACCCCCAATCTGTATACAGGATTCAGTTCTTTCCTAGCATCCTCAGCACTAGGATGTGAAGAGGATGTCGATGGATTGTGTTTCAGTTGACTGATTTAATTGTTTTAGTCTTCAACTGTGGTGCTGGGCGACAAGCCACGTATCATAGATCTGAGTAGTCCCACCAGCATCTCCAATGAGCACTTGCCTTCATCATTATAGGGGGCTCGCCCCTTGGTGGTTGCTCACAACTATTGGACCAGCTTTTTCTGCTGCTACACTGCGGTTTGCTGCCACTACACTGCGGATTGGCAAACATCACCCAGATCATTATAGGATCAGAAGTGTTTTTCCCCCCACCTGGAGAGTTCTTAGTTGAAGTCCCAGGTTTGCCCTCAGGACTGTGAGCATATCTACTGGTTGGGTGCAAAGTAGCAATTCTGCAGTTTATGCCAGATTATGGCATACTGCAGTAGTGAGGTATGCAACGCTGCCTGTATTCACACCCAGTTGTAAGGCTGCTGCCTGCTCTCGATTCACTCTATATGTGTTCTACGCAGGAGTCATCTGGGGGCTGAGATGAAGTTTTATATGTCCCCTTGTTGCCTATCTGCTCACCACACATAATTGTGTTTTTGCCCGGTCATTAACTTTGCCCTAGTGTGGTTGTGTTTTTTTTTTTTTTTTTTTTTTTTTTTTTTTTTTTTTTTTTTGGGAGACATTGAGTCCACGAGATCCTGCATGTCTCCTCTGTGCTCCACTGAATGTAATGCTGTGCACATCGCACCGCATAACATTCTTTCCTGGTCTCCATGGCTGGGGATCTGTCAATGGGGGCCCGGAAGTGACATCACATCACTTCCAGGTCAGGACAAGAAGGGGAGTGGATGTGTCAACTCTCCTCCCTCCCCTATACCCGCCAGTGACTGGACCTGGGCACGCAGATGTGCAAGTGAAGCCTGGGACATATGGGGGGGAGACATACTGGACTGTGTGGAAGCAATTGGGTGGCAGCGCTGTCACCTGAATACTTCCACCTGACAGGTGAGCCCTGCTGCAGGTAAAAAAAAAAAAAAACTACCTGCCAGGCGCCTGGAACTACATGTCCTGGGCATCAGGTGATATGAATTCAGCATCCCTGTGTTTGGAACTTTTTTAACTGACTGTCATAAGAAAACAAAATGGGTAATAAAATGCTAGTTTGGCAATTGATGATTTTTCTTGCCTTGGCTTACATTATCACATTTTCCATTTTAGGTTTCTCTAGAAATGGGAAAGATTCTGGTAGAAGGAGTTGGAGAAGTCCAAGAGTATGTTGACATCTGTGACTATGCAGTTGGCCTTTCCCGTATTGTTGGAGGACCTATATTACCTTCAGAAAGTAAATAAGGTTTTTATACTCTTGGTTGCGTCAAAACATTTTTCTTGTTCAAAAAAAGTAACATCTTTGTCACAGGTTAATGTGAAAAATTAGACATGATTTGCAAAACAATTTGGCAAAATTGTAGCATGTGCACAGTAGCCAGGTTTCAAATATCAGATTAACCACTTGCCCTTCAGAGGATTTACCCCCCCCCCCCCCCTTCCTGACCATGCCATCGTGTAACTGACAATTACTCGGTCATGCAACGCTGTACTTAATTGACATTTGTGTTTGTTTGTTTGTTTTTTTTCCCCTACAAATAGAGCTTTCTTTTTGTAGGGGAACCTCTGCATTTTGTATTTTTTTTCTTTTTGTGCTATAAACAAAAAAAAGACCAATTTTTGAAAAAAACAAAACTTTTTTTTGCTGTAAAACATCCAATTAAAAAAATCTAATTTCTTCATAAATTTAGGCCAAATGTTATTCTGCTGGATGTCTTTGCTAGAAAAAAAATCCCAAATTAATTGGTGTACGTGAAAGTAATACAAATGGCGCTATATATACTGGAATATTTATTTTTATTTTTTTTTATACTAGTAATGGCGGTGATTAGCGACGTATAGTTGGACTGCAGCAGGCATTCTGATGCTGGGTGGGAACTAAGTGCCAATGACATCCCCAATCACTTATACTGTACAGTGATCAGTGCTAATAAAAAGCACGGACACTACGAATGACACTGAGCAGAAAGGGGTTAACATCTGGGGTGAACTAAGGGTTAACTGTGTGCTGTGTTTTTTACAAGGAAGACATGTGCAGAGATACAAAACAGCATGTCCATCCTGACAGGAGAGAGGCCGACGATTGCCGAGTGCTGGCCGGGACCCAGTGATTGCCATCTCTAGCCGCCAATAGTGGCGGGCTAGGGTGTGTGCGTCTGTGAGAGATTTTTGCGCAGCCCTGTTGCCCTACTGCAGAAGTACTGCTACAGGGTAAGAAGTTAAGCAAGGAATCTACTTCAGACTGATTTCAGTTCAGCAGGGACTGGGCAAATTTTGATCTATATGTAGGCCTCCCTATTCAACAGAAGCCGGTTATTAGACCAACGTCTGTCAAATGGACATGCTGCAAGACTTCCAGGATCAGTGAGTGGACCTGCTGATCTGTGTGTTCTGGAAGCAGGGAGCCACGCTGTCAGTATACAATTTCCTGGTGGGGGTGGGTTCCTCCACTTCTTTGCTTGTGTGAAAAGAGACAATTTTTTTTTTCTCCTTTCTATTCAGCCTACTGGCTGAACAAAAATAAAAAAAAAAAAACTAATTGTCTATACCTAGCCTAACTGGTTGCATTGGCTTTTTGCCCCTGATTGATTTTATTTTTAAGATATTGGCCTTGGTATAATGGTATTTATTTCAATGCAGTCCTTCTGGTTTAAAAATAAACATATTTAACACTGGGTGCACCAGAATTGTCGTCTTTCAAACGATGTCTGGTGCAAAAATTTCAAATGGAGCTATGGAAGGTTGGGATGAGTCATTCAGATTTCAGTGTAAGGGCACTGAAAACATAACAGCACTGTAAGGGATCATAATGGCAGTCCTGTACAAAGCCTAACTATTTAATGCCATGCTTATGCGAGTGGGTTGGGTTATTCTTTGTCTCCTACCAAGGCATTTACAAAGCCAACAGAACACTTCTTGCTCCTCCTGGAGTATTTTATGTAAACGTAAAAAATAAATATGCAAGTGACAGCGATGCACTGTAGTAAATATGGCAGCATAGTGGATCTACGAATTTGGGTGCAGAGAACTCATGATTTATAATACGCCAATGGCTTGTAAAGATATGTCATCCAGAATCAGGACTTCAGTTCATTAAACAGCTCTTTTTATTTAACCACTTCCCGTTGTATATAAACGGCCAGACGGTGGCAGTGCAGGGTTGGGTGGTCGTTTATAAAGGCCTCCCCGCCCCCTGCTTGTGCGCGCTTCCTGGGAGTGCGCAGCACTGCGATCCGGTGCCCGCTGTGTCTTCAGGACACAGTGGAACACCGATCGTCGGATGGGACCTCTGTGCGAGGTCCTGATCATGTGATCACTGATTGACCAATCAGTGATCACATGCAGAACAGTAAGCGAGATGTCACTTCTGACATCATTGCTTACTATGTGTGAGATCACGTGATACAAGGCTATTCACAACAGTGAAACAAATGTGACAAGCTGTGACCAATCACAGCTCACACAATAGTTCTCAATGGCTGCAAGAATGCAGCCAGAGAGAAGGAGAAATGATTCTTTTCCAGCCTTTTATGGGTGTAAAAGCAATCTGTGTAAAAAAAAAAAAAAAAAAAAAAAAAAAAAAATCTTCATCACCCCTACAAGTAGTACAGTGTCGCCATGGGTCAGTATGTAAAAAAAAAAAAACACCATTTGTGGTTAAACTAATTTGGGTTATTACATTTTTTTTTTTTTTTTTACTAAAAAGATAACTGAATACATTTTGGCCAAGATTTATGATTGAATATTATTTATGTGCAAAATTTTGTAAAACAATTTTTTTTCAAAATTTTTGGACTTTTTCATTTACATAGCAAAAACAATAAAAATCCCAGTGGTGAATAAATACCACCAAAATAAAGCTTTCTGTCTTAAAAAAAAAAAAAAAAAAAAAAAAAAAAAAAAAAAAAGCTAAATTCATATGGGTACAGTGTTGCATGACCGCACAATTGTCATTCAAAGTGTGATAGTGCTGAAAGCTGAAAATTGGCCTGGCCAGGAAGGGGGTAAAGTGTCCGGACTGGAAGTGGTTAAATGTAATTGAAATAGTCAGTGCAAACTAAAGCTTTGTGTTTTTGTATGTGTTCACACATTCTCCTGAATGTCAAATCTCATGTTTTTTTAGGACCTGGGCATGCCCTGATTGAACAGTGGAATCCTGTGGGTTTGGTTGGAATTATCACTGCCTTTAATTTCCCAGTTGCAGTGTATGGCTGGAATAATGCTCTCGCTTTAATCTGTGGGGATGTTTGTCTATGGTAAGAAATATAATGCATATTGTAATAAACAGTAGCTTTCATCCACAAGGCAAACAGCCATGTGTACTGTGTAATAACCCATAGGACCAATTGGCAAATACTTTAATTTTTCTTACCATTCTAACCTGCCAAAAGGTAATATCTAATTTTTGCTAAAGTGTAATTTTTTTTTTTTTTTTTTTTTTTTTTACCATAAAGATTTTTTATTAGGAAAACAGAGCGTACAAAGAGATACAATGTGTCCATGAAAATCGCAATGTAAAACAAATAAATACCATTCAGTGAGATGCTAAGGTAAACAGACAGAGAAAACGATCTCATTCCGCACATACTATTAATAATATTCGGCTAGGGGAACGACATACGGTCACAGCAAGGATGAAGGCACTTAATACTCATAACCATAATAAGGTGTAAGAAATCAGGATCAATTGTTTTTTTTTTTTTTTTTCCCCCCCCATTTGTCTTACATCATATAAAAGCAGGGCAGGGGGGCAGAGGATGTGAGTAGGGCTCAGGACATCCTATAGAGGAAAGCTGGTGCAGAGGTGTTGAGAGCTCTATACTATCCATAGGTATAACGGGGGCTACGATTAGTGGTTATCAATGTGTGAGAGAGGTCTTTGTGAATCAGATGAAGTGTATTTGTAGGTTGCATATGGGTATGGGAGTATGTTGCCTATGGGCAGGGAAGAGTGGAAGGGTAGGAGGAGGAGAGTCAGGTAAGACATGCAAAATAGAAAGGAGGAAAGGGAAGGTACAGGGAATAAGAAAAGAGTGGGGGGGGGGGGGGGGGGGGTAGGGCTAAAGTGTAATCCATAGTCATGATGTATGTACTGCCTTCTAATTTAAATAAATTCCACAATAATATTTTAAGAACTATAGGAAAAACTTTCTTTTGTATTGTGTCCTATTGGGAAGATTTACTGTCACTTCCTATCCAATAGCCAAAACAGGACATGGGAGGAAATCCCTTCAAACTAAGGGAATCCCTTGCCCTCCAGGTCACCAGAATTGGTGTCCCTATTGAAAGATCTCCCCTCTTATATTGTTTCTGGGGACAACCCAAAATTTGTGTGTTTTTTTTTTTTTTTTTTTTTTCTTTTACTTTCAATAGTAATAGTAAACAGAGAGGGTTAATCTCCCTAACTGGCACAGACATCAGTAACAACTTGGTGTTCTTATTCCTCTCCACCCTGTCCAAAACTAAAAAAAGGTTTGGTCTTTAGTTGCTCATGCTTCAGTCTAATGGAAAAGCCAAATAATAATATACTTGAATGAGCAGTGTTGCTAAATGCAGCATTTTACCACCTTCATTACAAAAAAGAAGCTTAAAGCTGGCTTTACATGGATCGAAATTTGGCTGGTTCAGCAGGGACTGATCTATTGAGTTCTGTATAACTGCCCTGTTGGATTTCGCCCACATGATCAGCACTGCATACTATAGCCTGCAGTGCTGATAAGTGTATTTGAAGGTGGGGAAATCTCCCTGCTGTCAGAATACAATAGCTCTTATTGAGTGTGGTCACCAGCCAGTGCTGCTTCTGCTCAGGATAAGCTTGGAAGGAAGGCAAGATATCATTTCAAACTGGCAGTTGTGATCATGAGAACTTACAGACCATTTTAAAAGTTATATTTTGGAGCTGTACTGCCTTGGCCTAAAGTTTTGAGAATGACACAAATATTAATTTTCACAAAGTCTGCTGCTTCAGTGTTTTTAGATCCTTTTGGTCAGATGTGAACAGTGTTGACCCTTCTTTTTCAAGACCTCTGCAATTTGTCCTGGCATGCTGTCAGTCAACTTCTGGGCCACATTCTTACGTAATCCATGCTCGAAAAAAACTGAATGGAGTGTTGTGTTTTTTTTGGTTTTTTTTTGTTTTTTTTCACCTGCCTCCTGAAGATTGACCACAAGTTTTCAATGGGATTAAGGTCTGGGGAGTTTCCTGGGCCATGGACCAAATTCTGATGTTTTGTTTCCCAAGCTACTTGGTTATCACTTTTGCCTTATGGCAAGGTGCTCCAGCATGCTGGAAGAGGCATGGTTTGTCACCAAACTGTTCTTGGATGGTTTGGAGAAGTTGCTGCAACCCTACACATGAATGGTCTCGGGATTCTTTACTGCTGGCATGACACAGGACTGATGGTAGTGCTCACCCCTTTTTTTTTTTTTTTTTTTTTTTTCTTGATGTCCCAAACAATCGGAAAGGGGATTAATCAAAGAATTACTTTACCCCAGTCCTGAGCAATCTAATCCCTGTACCTTTTGCAGAATATCAGTCTGTCCCTGATGTTTTTCCTGGAAAGTAGAAGCTTTTTTGCTGTCCTTTTCGACATCAGGCCATCCTCCAAAAGTCTTTGCCTCCCTGTGCATGCAGATGCACTCACACCTGCTTGTTGCCATTCCTGAGCAAGCTCTGTGATGGTGGTGCCCCGATCCTGCAGCTGAATCAAATTTAGGAGATGGTCCTGGCACTTGCTGGACATTCTTGGGCATCCTGAAGCCTTCTTCACAACAATTGAACCTCTCTCCTTGAAGTTCTTGTAGATCCGGGGGTGTAATACTGCTTGCTGCTTCTTCCACAGAGATAACTGTCAATACATACGACCATCAATATGTGAAGACAAGGTGCTCAAAACATCTTAAACATTTGATGTTGTACTAAAATCACACACAACTTTATTACACTGTTTATAAAACTACAAATGTTATTTAGTTCTTTTATATAAGGCTTAAAACCAACAGAGTGCTGCAGGTGGCTCAGAATTCCCAATGCAACAATTGGGCCCTGTACATGTGCACAAGCTTACCGGAAGTGACGTCATGAGCATGTGCCAAGGCACTTCGGCACCATTTTGGAACATCCACCACTGCCCTCACCAGCGCAGAGTCCAACCAAAGGCTCACTAGCAAACCAGCAGGCCAAGGAGATGGATACCTTATGGCAGGACCCAGCTAAGAGTGTGCCACCTCATGTAGGGACACATGGGCACCCTTCCTGGATAGCCCAATGGCCATCAAAAATGCCCCAAACACCCCCGAAGGAGGAGGGGGGAGAAGAAAAAAGAGTGGAGGTAGAAAACCTAAAAAAAAAATGTATATAACTATATTTAGGTAAAAAATATAATCTCCAAAAACATTTAGGTCTCCTTTACAAGTTTGTTTACCAGGTGAGGGCATCTGAGATACCAAACATATTGAACAACCCCCTCAGGTATACATACAAAACCAGTCACAATAACCGTATAATGAGCTGCCCTTAAACTATAACAAATCACGTCGAACTAGACCAATATTGGATTTACAGACTTCTTAAACTGAGACAACGTTTGGGGGTTAGATCCATACTGACTGCAAAATAGCAGCATCAAGGCCACTTATTAATAAAGGCTTAAAACTGATGGACTCATTAAGTACTGGAAATTTGGGGGCAACTAATGTGTGTATATATCCACTTTGTTTCACATTGTAAAAGAAGTTTGATATCTCATCCACGTTCATGAAGCCAAAAATTGGCGAAACATGTCGAGTGGGAATTGTATTGTGAATTCTGAGCCACATGGAGCGCTTTTTTGTTTTTTTTTGTTTTTTAGCTTGTGCCGTGCTCCTTTTGATATCTGCATGAAGTTTTGAGGGCTAGGATTATTTCAGACAATGCAGTAGCTGTGACAGGATGGGAATGTGACCCTAACCTTGTTAAAGGATTATTTTCAGCTCTGTACTATTTTCTGTTAATTGTATCTTAAATGACTACATAATAACCCTTGAAGTGTAGTAAGTTATAACTTGTTCTATTAAACCAAAATGTATTTTATTACATGTCACACTAGTAGGGGGCAAGAAGAGAGCATTCAAATAGCATGATAAAGCTGATGTACAGTTTGTAACAATTTTGGGTACTGGAGAGCTTCTAACTTGCAATTTTGCTACCAAAGTTAGCGTTCTATTTATGGTTTTCTGCAGTTCCAATCCCAGGCTTTTTTTTTTTTTTTTCTCTAGCTATAGATAGCAGGGAGGGGGAAATGTTGGAACCTCTTGTCAGGTAGCCCCAAATCAGAAAATTTTCCCTACCTTCCTTCCCTTGTGGCAACATTGGGACAGGTGGTAAGAATTAATCGCCTTGTTTACAGCAAGTTTTGAATGGTTAGAACCTGTCAAATTTTGCATTTGGTATTCATCTTGTGTTTTTTTTTTTTTTTTTTTTTTTTTTTTCCCCCCCCATGTCTTTTTGATTCTTTCATTTAGGAAGGGAGCACCAACCACATCCCTTACTAGTGTGGCAGTAACAAAGTAAGTTCTACTGTAACACTGTCTGTCATCTTTGTATGTTCTTGAAACCATTAAGGTAAACAGTTAACTGCATTCCTTGCAGAGCACCTAGTAAACAGCCTAGCTACCTGCTTCTCCCAAATCAGAATATTGAGCTGAGGGACACTGTTTTCAGGAAAGAAATTATTCACCAATGATCCATAACTTCATGACCACTGAAAATTAAAATGGTAGTAAACTGAAGTTTTTAAAAAACTAATAGACAGGACATTTTATGACAGAGTCCCTGTCTGTCTCTTTAGCCATAAAAGCTTCCTCCTGCCCATCAGCTGTCATGCATGCCAAACCATGCATGTGCAGCTTGGTGTAGATTTTTGACCCCCGATCTGTGTCGTGGCGATGTGACTTCTGTACGTGTGCATGAGAGTGACATCGAGGCCTGGCCATTCAAAGGCATGGAACCGGGAAGGAAGACCAGGCAAAGATGGCAGTGTGGTGGCCCATCTGATTGATTACACTGCAGTGGTGGAAGGTTTCTTTTGCAGGTAAGTCTGCCATAATGTGTTAACTTGCGGTGCATTACTAGCACATTATGGCATAACCCACCTGGGGGCCATGCCGGAAAAGCAAATCTAATTCTTCATGGAGGCCCCACCTCGCAACTTAAAGGATCTGCTACTAAAGGCCTTGTGCCAGATACCACAGCATACCTTCAGGGGTGCAAATACCAAGCACAATGAGGTTCCAGGGGATATGTAGATAATCGCAGTATGGGCAGCTCCAACAACTCATCCGACCAGCAATGAGACATGAGCACAAAACGAATGAAAGAGCGCTCCCAACTGTGGAAGTCAATGGAGTCACAAGCCCAGGAACAGTTTAAAATCTAAATTCACTTTAATATTGGGCTAAAAAGCATGATGTAAGAGTGCTCAGATTGATATGTCACCAAGCCAGTGGAGAGGAGAAACTCGTATTCCCAGAAGCTGGAGGATGACGCATGATCCTGTACCCAACGGTATGTTGCTCTGCCAAGGAGCCTAGGACAGTGGGAAGGGTGTGTGGTTGGCAGCTGCTGGGATCTCTAAGATGGCGTGTCTGTACCAGATACGGTTGTGTGGTCATAAAGTTATGGCTGATAGGTGTGTATAGATGAGATAAAACAGGTTTTGCAGAGGTGTTTGTGTGGTGTGTGTGTGTTTTTTTTTTTTTTTTTTTTTTTTTTCTTTATAACTTGTGCTAACAAGGGGCAGGTTGCTGTCTACTTATTGATACATTTCAGCTTGTGTCCTTGGCTTTCCATGCCTTTTTGCACCTCCCTTTCTTCTTGTGTTCAATCCTTTTTTTTTTTTTTTTTTTTTTTTTAATTTTACCTCTGCGTCATTCCATTTTATTACACATCATATATATGTGCCTGTCTCTATATATCACACTATATTGCCAAAAGTATTGGAACACCCCTCCAAATCTTTGGATTCAGGTGTTCCAATCACCTCCATGGCCCCAGTTGTATAAAATCAAGCACCTAGACATGCAGACTGCTTCTACAAACATTTGTAAAAGAATGGGTCGGTCTCAGGAGCTCAGTGAATTCAAGCGTGGTACTGTGATATGTTGCCACCTGTGCAATAAGCCCACCTGTGAAATTTCCTTGCTATTAAATATTCCACAGTCAACTGTTAGTGGTATTATAACACAGTGGAAGTAACTGTAAACATGCAAAATGACAGAGCGGGGTCAGTGCATGCTGAAGCTCACAGTACGCAGAAGTCGCCAACTATCTGCAGAGTCAATAGCTAAAGGCCTCCAAACTTCGTGTGGTCTTCAGAATAGCACAACAGTGCATAGAGAGCTTCATGAATGGGTTTCCATGGTCAAGCAGCTGCATTTAAGCCTTACATCACCAAGTGCAATGCAAAGCGTCGGATGTAGCTGTGTAAAGCTCGCCACCACTGAACTGTAGAGCAATGGAGATGTCTTCTCTGGAGTGATGAATCACACTTCTGTCTGGCAATCTGATGGACATGTCTGGGTTTTGTGGTTGCCAGGAGAATGGTACTTGCCTGCCTGCATTGTGCCATGTGTAAAGTTTGGTGGAGGGGGGATTACAGTGTGGGGGCCGTTTTTCAGGAGTTGGGATTGGCCCCTAAGTTCCAGTGAAGGGAGCTCTTAAAGCGTCAGCATACCAAGACATTTTTGACAATTTCGTGCTCCCAACTTTGCGGGAACAGTTTTTTGGGGATGACCCCTTCTTGTTCCGACATGGCTGTGCACAAAGCAAGGTCCATAAAGGCATGGATGCACGAGTTTGGGGTGGAGAAACTTGATTGGCCTGCACAATCTTGACCTCAACCTGATGGAACACCTTTGGGATGAATTAGAGCGGAGACTGTGAGCCAGGCCTTCTTGTCCGACATCCGTGTCTGACCTCACAAATGCGCTTCTGGAAGAATGGTCAAACCTTCCCATAGATACACTCCTAAACCTTGTGGACAGCCTTCCCAGAAGAGTTGAAGCTGTTATAGCTGCAAAGGGTGGGCCAACTCAATATTGAACCCTACAGACTAAGACTGGGATGTCATTAAAGTTCAGGTATGTGTAAAAGCAGGCATCCCAATACTTTTGGCAATATAGTGTGTGTTGATAGATAGATACAGTTGTGCTCACAAGTTTGCATTCCCTGGCAGAAATTGTGAAATTTTGGCATTGATATTGAAAATATGACTGATCATGCCAAAAAAATGCTTTTATTGAAGGATGATGATCATATGAAGCCATGTATTATCAAATAACAGAAATCGCCCAAATGGCCATGATCAAAAGTTTACATCCCCTGGAATGTTTGGCCTTGGTACAGACACACAAGGTGACACACACAGGTTAAAATGCCAATTAGAGGTTAATGTCCCACATCTGTGGCTTTTTTAAATTGCAATTTGTACACCCCCACACCCCCCACACACACACACACACCCCACACACACACACACACACCCCCACAACACACACACCACACACACACCCCAAACACACACCCCACACACACACACCCCACACACACACACACACACACACCCAAACACACACACACACCCCACACACACACACCACACACACACACACCCCCAAACACACACACACACACACACCACCAAACACACACACACACACCCATCACACACACACACACACACACACACCCTCATCTCCAAAACACACACACACACCCTCATCTCCAAAACACACACACACACCCTCATCTCCAAACACAGGTGGTCACGAGACTCCCTGTGTTTGGAGATGCAAGTGGCAGCCATGTTCCTGAGATTCCATCTGTAAGTAGCACAACAGCTGAATGTCCAGTGGCAGTCAGACCAAAGAGGGGCACATTAAATGTGTACCACTAGAAGACAGATTTTATGTTTTTATGCATTGTTGGAAAATGTTGGCATATTTACCCATGTGAATATTGACTGATGGTAAGGTATTATGTCCTTAAGAAGTGACTATATACCACAAAACGCTGAGACCTAACCTACCCCAGTTGAAATGTCATAACATGTTGTTTGCCTGTTAAGAAATTGTATGTATATGTGTGTGTGTGTGTGTATGTGTGTGTGTGTATATGTATGTATGTGTATGTATATATGTATGTATGTATGTATGTATGTATATATATATATATATATATATATATATATATATATATATATATATATATATATATATATATATATATATTTGCAGTTTGTTTGAATGTTTACATGTGACACTTCTTGCGTGAGAACTAAATTTTTCTCCGTTTTGTGTATAAAAATAGTTTGTAGTCTGTGGGTGTACTAATAGTACAGTCCCGGTTTTTGATTCAATAGTTATTATATGCAAATAGTTGCCATAACTGTTTTTATGTTTTAGAGTGCTTACATGAACTTGAAAATTGGTTAACCTAGTTTATTGCACTTTTTAGAATAATTGCTCAAGTTCTAGAAGACAATAATCTGCCTGGTGCAATCTGCTCCTTGACCTGTGGTGGCGCTGACATTGGGTGAGTTAATCTTTTCTGATGTCATTTCTAGAAGGTTTCATATTTCTTTTGTGATAAGCCAAGAACCTGGGTCTCAGAAGGAACCTGGGAGTTCAGCATGCCAACTAGCCTTTTTAAGGCAGTAAACACATACAAAGCATAAATGTAAAATGTCAAATGTATTAGGCAGGTGATTAAATAGTCTACTATATAGTTATACAGCGCAATAAAATAGATGGCATTGGATGGAAGATGGCATGTTACCTCCCAACAGGTATTCTCATTGGGCCCTGCTTTGTAGTGATAGAGTTTAATGGAGAATTTAGCAGGAGATGCCTGACGACATATGAAGCTCGGCAAAAGGTATGTAGTTGTCTTGTTGGGCTGAAAACACTAAAATTGGCAGATATGAATGTTGGTGTACCTTGAAAGAGATGCTACCCATACAATGTCATGTACCCACTGACATAAGTTCATCATTACCATTAGACCAGGAGGCATTTCTAGTCTTTGAAGACGGTGTCATAACCGTTTTTGGATTTTTTTGTTCTGTAGCAGACAGGTGTTTGCACCCCTTGCTGTGTTATGAATGTGCATTCCTGTGTAGTATTAGTGTACATACTGTACTTGCGCATTTGAAGTAATGTTCTTTCAGAAGATGCATCATAGCTTTATACAGTATGTACTTGCCATTTATTCTTTAAGGAATGAAATTTTAAAAAGTTCTGGTGGATGATTTGGTAGTTTGACACGTATATCTAACAAATGGTAAAAGTAATGTTACTTCATAACTCTGTCTTTTGCGCTGTTTTTTTTTCTGGAAGACAAATTCAGCAATGTCTTCTGTTAATTTATTATACAGTACTGCCTAGTAATTTAGGCATGCCTAGCCTTCTGTTTGCACTATGCGTTTCTGATATGTATTTTTTTAGGATTGTAGATGAGATACTACTGTATATAAATATTATGGATAAATTAAAATTCTTACTAGGCTAAAGTGATATTTCTACTCTTCAAGGAATATGGCTGAAAAAATATTGAAGCGCTGTAAAAATGCAATTGATTTGTTGTCAAATGCAAGCTACACATGTAATATATTCCAACTCCGCCCAATTATTTCCTCAATCATTTTTTTCATTAGTCACTCATTATCAGCCACCAGCCATCTGAAGGACATTCCCATTACATATAGGTGGTAATCTTGCTCAGTCTGGCGATATCTATCTGCCGTATCTATCCTATTCCCACATTCTCTTATAAACCATTCTGTATGTTGTACCTGTTTCAGATGCAGGTTGTGACTCTTCTGTGCTATTCTTCTAGCAATGCTATAGCGAAGGATGAGAGTGTGGATTTGGTTTCTTTCACTGGCAGTACAAATGTGGGGAAGCAAGTGGCTCTGAAGGTTCAAGAAAGGTTTGGTGAGTTTTATTTCATGGGAAGCTGTCTCTTCTTTAGAAGGCACCTATAATGTGTACAAGAGGGCTATTATGTTCTGCTTGCATATGCACAGTTTAGGTTTATACATACTCTGTACATGCCTTAGATGTGCTTTATTTTTGTTTTAAAATGACCAGCAGGCAGGTTGGGTTGCTGCCCCAATGGTCACAGCGGTGTCTTAGGGGTTCATGTATAACGGAAAGCAGTTATAGCTATATGCGATCTGTTGCACAGCACTTTGCTATGCACATTGTGGCCCAGCGATACATAAAAATCAGCCCACCGTGTGTAGCCAACACATCTCCATGGAGCCTTTTGATTGAAGGAAAGCCAGTTATGTGACTTTGACAGGTCACATTAATAAGCTCTCCTCTGGGCTTCTCTTTACATACAGAATGTCTGTATTTTTATTGGGCTCTGCGGGCTTTAAAGTCTAAAGCCAGTGGAGCACATTTATCCATTTGCCCTCTGAAAGATTTGGTCCCCTTCATGACCAGGCCATTTTGTTTGCTATTTTGGCACTGTTACTTTACCCAGTTCCCCATCCAGCTTATTTGACATATGCACATGCGTGCCTTGGGGGGGGGGGGGGGGGGGGGGGGGTGCGGCAGTTGTTGGTGAGCTGTGTTCCTTTGGACTCAGCGCATCACCGATCAGGGTAAACAGCCAATGTCGTTGGTTCTTTACCATGTGATCAGCTGTGATTGGGCACGGCTGATCATATGTAAACAAATGCCAGTTATCTGCATATCCTTTCCTCAGCGGTGTGACAGCAGGGGACATTTACACTGATTATCAGTGCAAACTCATCAGTGCACATCAGGGAAGGAGAATTGCTTATTTGCAAAATTTTATAAACATAAACTAAGGTGTGTGGTTTTTTTTTTTTTGGAAAAAAAAAATGGGGGAGGCCTTTTTTGTTTTAGGAAAAAAAAAACTCCATAGTGATTATATACCACTAAAAGAAAGCTCGGTCTATAAAAAAATTAAAATTTCATATGGGTATGGTGTTGCATGACCACGCAATTGTCATTCAAAGTGCAACAGCGCTGAAAGCTGAAAATTGGTCTGGGCAGGAAGGGGTGAAAATGCCCAATGGGCTAGTGTTTTCACAGTTGTGTGGTCATGCAACACTGTGCACAATAAATGTAGTTTTTTTTTTTTTTTTTTTTTAACCATTAGCCGCCCGGCCAATAGCCGTTTGGCGGCTTCAGATGTGTTTCTCCATTCCGGGTGCACGCCATTTGGCGTGCTCCCGCACATGCGCCGTTTGCGGCAATGCAGAGCGGCGCGGGATCTGTCACGGGCCGTGCACCTCGGACACGGTCTATGACAGATCCGAGTACCGGCTCCCGTTGTTGGTACCATGTGACCTGCTGTGACCAATCACAGCAGGTCACATGACAGTTGTATACAATGGATGGCTTCATTCATGCCATCCATTGTATACTAGTGCCTAGCTGTGAATGGTCACAGCTAGGCACTAGTATATGTCATGTCATGTGATTAGCTGTGACCAAATCACAGCCAAGCACAAAAAAAAAAAAAAAAAAAAAAGCTGAATGAATCGATTTCATTCAGGTAAATGCTTGCTTATAGCAAAGTAATTCTTTGCTATAAGCAAATTGTGTAAAAAAAAAAAAAAAAAAAAAAAAAAAAAAAAAAAATACTGATCACTTCCCCAAAGTAGTACAGTGTTACTATGGTAACATTGTACTACTTTGGTCATAGTAAAATATGAAATTTTTTTTTAAAAAAAAAATTAAAAAAAATGTAATAAATTAAATATAATAAAAAAAAAAAAAAAATAAATATATATATATATATATATATATATATATATATATATATATATATATATATATATATATTTTTTTTTTTTTTTTTTTTCCATACTGTCACCAGTCAGTGTCCCTGTTAACCGCCATGCCAGTTATATGATGACGCTGTACTGCACTGGTGACAGTATGTAAAAAAAAAAAATAGTGAAAATAATTTTTTTAATTTTTTTCATTTTCCGAAAAATTATGTCATAAAAATACAACTTCAAAAAACTCGCCATGCCTCTTATGAAGTACGTCGGACTGTCTACTCTGCAAAAAGGGGTCATTTGTGGGATATCTGTACTGTTCTGACATTCTTGGACCTCAAGAAATTAGATTGGCTGTCAGTACTTCAGGATTGATCAATATTCAGATCTATACCATAGTTTGTGAACTCTATAACTTTCCTACAAACTAAAAAATACATCCTAATTTGGGTTATTTTCACCAAAGACATGTAGCAGAATACATCTCGGCCTAAAATTTTATGAAGAACAATTATTTATTTATAAACTTTTATAACAGAAACAAAGAAAAATGTTTTTTTTTTTTTTTTTTTCTAAATTTTTGGTCTTTTTTTGTTAATTTAGCAAAAAATAAAAACCCCAGCGGTGATTAAATACCACCAAAAGAAAGCTCTAGTTGTGTGAAGAAAATGATAAAATTTTAGTTTGGGTACAATGTTGTATGACCGCGCAATTGTCATTCAAAGTGTGAGAGCGCTGAAACGTGAAAAATGGCCTGGGCAGGAAGGTGTAAAATTGCACGGTATTGAAATGGTTAAACAAACCGTTTTCTTTTGATGATATTTGATCACCACTGGGTTATTTTTTTTTTTTTTTGCCAATAAATGAAAAAAGACCAAAACCTTTTGAGAATTTATTTTTTACTTTCTGCTATAAAACACATCCAATAATAAAAAGAAAATTAAAAAATCAAATTTCTTGATAAATTTTAGGTTAAAATGTATTCTGCTATATATGTTTGTAGATGCTATAACGTTTGCTCAAACCAAACTATGGTATAGATACTGGAATTTTTTATTTATTATTCTTTTCTTTTTTTACTAGTAATGGCGGCGATCAGCGACTTCTAGCGGGACTGTGATAGCACAGTGGGCAATTTGACACTTGATGAAAACTGACTAACTGCTACTGACCGCTCCAGTGACACTAATACAGTGATGAGTGCTAATAATACACACTGACACTGTAATGACATTGGCTGGGAATGAGTTAGCATTAGGGGCAATCAAAGGGTTAACTGTGTGCCTAACAGTGTTTTGGTGTGTTTACTGTGTGCCGATTTTACAAGAGGATGTGCCAGTTTTTATTCCCTTCTTTGCAAGGAAAGAAAAAACGGCACTTTTCCACTGACAGGACAGAGCTCTGGGTTTACATTCACAGAGCTCTGTCCCATCTTCCTCCTCACCGAGCGGTGGGTCCTGGCCAGCAAGTATTAGGTGGGACCCGCTGATCGTCGAATGGAAAGAGCAGGATCACGTATAGCAGTCATTGAAATTTCCACTCGCCTGCTCGCATTGGCGAGGGGAAATTATGGTGGGGGAGAGTGTGTCCCCAGGGCCATCTTGCGGAGCAGGCTCGGAACTCTGTGCCGGATCTGTCACTCGTACTGGGAGCTGTCAGACTGCTCAATAGTTGAGCAAAGGGAAGGAGTGTGTGCTGTGCTCTTTGCCTCCCCTTATAGTGCAGTACCCAGCTCTGTGAGTGAACAACGAAGTGCTGCAACTTTGTGTGTGTGTGTGTGTGTACATATGTCTGTATGTAAACCTACATGTATGGGTGGTTTGCTCAGGTTCAGAATGATGTGGTTATTATAAGTGGTAGAGTATGGGGCATTTGAGGTACTGCTGGGTTGGATAGTAGGTAGGATATGCTTGGTAGAGTTATGGTTTTGTGAGTGAAAGATTATGGAGGGTTATGGTTGTATGCAGTGCATGGTCTAAGTATGATGGAGTGTTTAGGGGGACATTGGAGGCCCTGATGTAATGTGGGGAGACTCTGGGGACCCTGATGTAATGTGGGTAACATTTAACCGTGTCATTTCATGAAGTAATTTACGAGGGTGTGTAGGGGTGTAGCAGGGTAGGGGTTGGGTGGGGCAACTGGTGGCTAGTAACTCTTAAAGCCTGGCTAGTAGCTCAGGGCTTGAAAGTTTTTAAGCCCTGACGTATAGGGATACGTGATCGGACGCAGGAGAGCCACTCTGCCACCGTGCTCATACATGAGGGGGTTGGCAAGCAGTTATTTAGCACATTAACACCTTCACGCCGACATAACACAAATATGTGGCCTCACAGAACTAGGCCTTTTTTCTTTTTTTTTTTTTTTTTCTGTGGGGCCGCATATTTGCGTACTTGTCTTTGTGCTGGGAGCTCCACACAACTGCTCCCAGCAAAAAGGGTGTCAAGGAGAATCCCGGATCCCGTTCTAACGATCAGGACCTGGGACTCCCAATTCCAGGTCGCATGATCGCTGCGATGGCCTCTGATTTGGCAATCACAGTGATTTTTCATTGTACAGGCTGCCCCCCTTGTTGTGGTGTTTTTTTTTTTTTTTGTTTTTCTCTCTCTCTCTCTCTCTGAATGGAGGCGATACATTGTCTGTCTCTGTCTGTCTCTGTCTGTCTGTCTCTGTCTGTCTCTGTCTGTCTGTCTGTCTGTCTCTGTCTGTCTGTCTGTCTGTCTGTCGCTCGTTCGATCTCTCGCTCTCTCTCGCTCGTTCGATCTCTCGCTCGTTCGATCTCTCGCTCGTTCGATCTCTCGCTCGTTCGATCTCTCGCTCGTTCGATCTCTCGCTCGTTCGATCTCTCGCTCGTTCGATCTCTCGCTCGTTCGATCTCTCGCTCGTTCGCTCTCTCGTTCTCTCTCGATCTCTCGCATGTTCGCTCTCTCGATCTCTCTCTCGTTCGCTCTCTTGCTCGTTCGCTCTCTCGCTCGCGCTCTCGATCTCTCGCTTGTTCGCTCTCTGGCTTTCTCTGGCTCTCTCTCATTCATATATGTGGTAGTAATAAACACCACTAAATTTAAAATGAGTGTGGTGAGTGTATTTTTTTTTTATTTTATTTTTTTTTTTACCATTTTTGGGCCAGTTTTCCTTTTGATAAAAAAAATCAGGAGATATCCATTACCATTTGCCACCAAATGAAAGCCCAATTTGTCCTGAAAAAAAACCAAGGTATAATTCACCTGGATGTACAAAGTTGTGGTGATATTTACGGTTTTATTAACACATGTCAAAGTTGCAAATTGTGCTTAGGCGTTAAGATTTTGTTTTACCCTTAAGCATGAAGGGTATAAATGTACAATTTTTTTTTTTTTTGTCTTTCTTGCTCCACAGTATGGCCATACTCCTGCATTTTAAGACTGCTTTCTTGGGTTAAAACAAAAATGATGGGGGGGGGGGGGGGAATATACTCTCACACGACCATTAACTAGGTACCATATCCTCAATTCTTGAGCATTATAAAAAAAACTAAGATGACTTTAATGGTGCCATCACCATTGTCTATAAAAATATCAAATCTTTATTTGAATCAATTAAAAACAAAGTAAAAAATCATCCGTAGTACAGATTGTTGACATTGCAGTTTGCATAGTTCTTATGAAGAGAGAAACCATGTGATACATGAGTAAATCCAGCAGTTGGTTACAATTGAGTCTAATGGATAATCTTATCTGGTGTATCTCTAATTCTTTTAGGCCTAGTTCTCATGGATTTCAACTTCAGAAAAAAAGACTGAAGATTACTGTGTATCACAAGTATTTACAGCTGTCATTATGCCCTTTCATAAAGACTGAACATGTACAGCTATGTTACAGACAAGGAAAATTTACTGAAAACAATACTGTAGAGCATACAAATGACAGAAAATTACTTAACAGCCAAGAAAACATTCCACAAATATTACAGAACCAATTCTAAGTGGCATATAAATCACAGACCTACATTAGCGGCAATAATACCCAATACAACCTCTGCACTTTGGAAGACCAGTACCTAAGACAACCAAAGACAATATTTAAGCAATCATCAACTGGAAAGACCTCTATGCAGAAAGCACATCCAATATTACAAATCTCCTCAGTCAGGTCTTCCCAGCCAAGGTCTCCCTAAAAAGCCGGTCATAGACTGATCAACATTCCAACTCTTCCATACTAATTACTATCTCTAGTTGCTATTCCGATGACTTGATGTCTAGAACATGTATTGAAGACCTGCAAATTCATTAAGCTTATCTCCTGAAAAAGCCAACTTGGCATACCAAAGCCACATGACCAAATGGAGACTCTGTAGGGTTGATTTACTAAAACTGGAGAGTGCAAAATTGGGTGCAGCTCTACATAGAAACCAATCTGCTTGCAGGTTTTTGGTAAAGCTTAATTGAACAAACTGAAGTTAAGAGCTGAATGGCTACCATGCACAGCTGCACTCGCCAGTTTTAGTAAATCGGCACCAATTTCTGGAAACTGGTCTACACTCATTCACCAGCTCTCTGAAGACAAAGGGCCAACTTAAATGCAATCTGTCACATTTGGCTTTAGTATACCAATGAAGGCAGGGAAGACTAGCTATTTTGATCGGAGGCAATCTTGGCAATGCAAACGTGGGCTCATAGCTCATAATAATCCCATGAAAATATATTAATTGCATATACTCACTATAAATATATATATTTTATGGGTTCATGCCATATCTTCTACTTTAAACACGCCATTAGTACACTTTAAAGAAATTTCTGCAAGTTTTAGCACTGCTCGATGTTTGCAGTGTCTAATACACTTGATGACTGGAGTTGAAGGGTGATTTTTAAAAGGGCTTTTAGAATTTTTTTTTTTTAGACAAGCAGCTTTCTCAAAGTTCTTTAGATGCCTGTTGTATGTATTTACTCTTCAGAATAGATTTCAAAAGGTGAAGAGCTAGTAAGTAATTTCCTCTCAAAGCAGAAAAATTCTTCAGGTGCCAAATTGCCAAACATTAGGGAGACTAATATTCCGTGTTTTGTTTTCTGTAGGACGAAACTTACTTGAGCTTGGCGGAAACAATGCAATCATTGGTGAGTATAAAAAAAAAAAAACCGGTGAATCCACAGTGTAATGTTTTATAGGGTTTTGTCCATATTTCAGTGTTTAGTGTTATCCTTATTGATAAGCAGAAATGGTGAAGAAAATAAAAAGTAACAGTGCACAATAAGCATGTGCACACGGTGTGTTCACTAAGTAGTAGCTAATTAGATTATTGTTGGGTGCTTCCGTCTTATATATTCAAGATTTGAGTGTAAATCAATGGGATTTACCATTCTTGAGGCATGGTGGTACAGGGTGCTCTGTTGGAATACTCTGTAACTTGATCTCTTGCCTAGGAGCTAATCAGTTCTGTGACTTGGGAAGTGCTGCTAGCTGTCACTGACATCTGCAGCACCCCTAGGAGGCCCATCCACATCATATGCGTTGGGCTGCACTGTATAGTCCTGCCTAACAGCCTCAATGCATAAGTGAGGCATTTTTTGAAAAAAGATGTGTGGGTTTTTTTTTTTTTTTTTAATTCTATGACACACTACGCTGCTGTGATGAATAAAGATGAATGCAATGTCATTTTTGTGAAATTTCAATAAAGTTGGGAAAAAAAAGTGTGGTGTGATCAGCACCGCAGCCTTCACTATGCACACTGGCTGCCACAATATAACCTAGCTGTTGGTGTGAACAAGCCCTAATTTGTAGGACCTGACAAGTGCTGAAACTCTGTATTGTCTTAATATGGCTGAAAGGAGCTTTCTACATCACCTTTGTAATAGGACGCTGTGCCTAAAATGGTTAATATTGGCACATCTATTACACACAAAGGCAAATAAAATTTGAGGGTGTTCATTTAAAGGTTTAAGTTTTATTTATTTGGCCCTTTTAGGCCTCACATTCAAAGTTTGGTGTACAGTCAATTCAGGCCTGGAATCTGTTTAATTTCTGCTTGATTTAACTAAAGAATTAACTGTAAAATGTATTTAATTTTTTTTTTTTTAGAGTGATGATCTACACTCTCCAGCCACTTTATTAGGTACACCTGTTCAATTGCTTGGTAACAAATTGCTAATCAGCCAATCAGCAACTCAATGCATTTTGGCATCTAGACGTGGTGAAGATTACTTGCTGAAGTTCAAACCGAGCATCAGATTTGGGGGGGAAAAAGGGATTTAAGCGACTTTGAACGAGGCATGGTTGTTTGTGAAATACTCAGTCCAGCCTGTCTGGCACCAACTGCTGCTCTACTGGGATTTTCACACACAACCATCCCTGGGGTTTACAGAGCATGGTCTGAAAAAAGAGAAAATGTCCAGTGAGTTGTAGTTGTGTGGGAAAAAAAATGCCTTGCTGATGCCAGAGGAGAATGGGCAGCCTGGTGGTGGTGGTAGTTGTTGGCACTATATAAATCCTGAATAATAACAACAACAGTTTGCGCAGCGCTTTACAAAATGAAGGTAGACATTAGTTACAATACAATTTTGGTAGAAGAGGAAACAGAGGGCCCTGCTCGTTAGAGCTTACAATCTAGGAGGAAGGGTTGAGTGATACAAAAGGTAATAGCTGTGGGGGATGAGCTGATGGGGGAAATAAATGGCACTTTACTAAGTAGAAGTAGGATAGGCTTCTTTAAAGAGGTTTTCAGGGATCGTCTAAAGGTAGATAGATTAGGAGACAGCCGGACAGATTGGTGTAGGGAGTTCCATAGGATGGGAGAAGCTCCGGAGAAGTCCTGAAGGCCAGCATGGGAGGAGGTGACACAGGAACTAGAGAGCAGAAGGTCTTGGGAGGATCGAAGAGAGCAGTTTGGTTGATATTTAGAGACCAGGTTGGTGATATGGCTGGGGGCAGAGTTGTGGATGGCTTAGTAAGTTTGTTGTCAGTATTTTGAATTTTATTTGTTGGGAGAGTGGAAGCCAGTGGAGGGATTGGCAGAGAGGGGTAGCAGACACTGAATGGTTGGTGAGGTGGATGAGCCTGTCAGCAGCATTCATGATGGACTGGAGGGGGGATAAAGGTAAGCCGATGAGGGAGTTGCAGTAGTCGAGGCGAGAGATAACCAGGGAATGAATTTGGAGCTTTGTGGTATCATTGGTTAAAAATGGGCGTATTCTAGAGATGTTGTGGAGGTTGAGGCGGCATGATTTGGACAGGTATTGGATGTGGGCCTGAAAGGATAGCTCAGAATCCAGGGTTACCCCTGGCATGCAGGGATGGGTTGATAGTGGTGCTATTGATCCTGACCAAGAAATCAGGGGAAGAAGCACGTGGGGGAGGAAATATTATGAGCTCCGTTTTGGATAGATTGAGTTTTAGGAAGTGATGTGACATCCAGTCTGATATGTCTGTTAGTAAATCAGAGATACGTGGGGAAACTGATGGAGTGAGCTGAGGCATAGAGAGATAGATTTGTGTGCCATCAGCATAGAAATGGTATTGGAAACCATGGGAAGCCATTAGCTGACTCAAGGAAGAAGTGTAGATCGAGAATAGGAGAAGTCCAAGGACAGAACTTTGGGGGACCCTGACCTGTAAGAGGAGTAGGAGAGGAGAAAGTAGAGTTGTAAGTGACACTGAAGGTGTGGTAAGATGGGTAAGATTCAAACCAACAGAGACCCAGTAAATAGTTTTTTTGAGGAGGAGGGGGGGTGGGCAACTGTGTGAAAGGCAGCGGAGAGGTCCAAGAGCAAGAGTATAGTGACCATTGGTTTTAGCAGTCAGTAAGTAGTTTGTGAGTTTTAGGAGAGCAGTTTCTGTGGAGTGTTGTGGACGAAATCCAGACTGAGGGGGATTGAGAAGGTTATTCTCAATAAGGTGGCAGCTCAGCCGGTTGTAGACTAGACGTTCAAGGAGTTTGGAGGCAAAAGGAAGTAAGGAGATGGGTCTTAGTTTGGCGGGGTCCAGTGTGGCTTTTTTAAGTACGGGGGTGACTAGCGCATGTTTTAGAGAGCTGGGGAAGATGCCAGTAGAAAGGGAGAGATTTGAAGATATGAGTTAAAGAAAGAAGGATAGAGCCGGAGGGTGAATGTAGTATTTGGAACAGGGTCCAGGGGACAGGTGGTTGGGTGGGCTTTAGAAAACAGTTTATCAGCCTACTCTATAGTAGCTGGGTTAAACAAGGAAAGTATAGTTTGTGCAGGTGGACAAGGAGTGTAGGGTGAGGGAGATATCTATACAGTGGAGATCTCTATTGTTGAAGTGATTAGTGATCTCCTGGGCAGAGAGTGAGTTAGTGGGTGGAAGTAAAGGACTAGGTAGAGTTAAAGGTAGAAAAGGGTTGACTGGGATTGTGTGAGAGGGTGTTAATGAGAGTGATAAAATAGGTCTGTTTAGCAGTGTGGAGACCAGAATTGTATTTTTGAAGGGAGGATTTATATTGGTCTTGCTGGGTCCTAGTCTTATGCCATAAACACTCCAGTTTTTAAGGCATCTGGTATTGTCTGTTTGCTAGAGCTGTACCGGTTGGGGCCTAATTCTGTGTGTAGTGAGGAGGGCCAATGTGTCCAGGGTGGATGACAGTGAACGATTGTAGACAGAAGTGGCCAGGTTGGGGCAGGACAGGGCTGAGATGTTGTCAGACAATCTGTTGCTGAAAAAAGAAGAGAAGGGTTAAGATAACAAAGGTTTCTACGGGTAACTGTTTGGTAGTTGAAAGACGAGGAGGAAGCCAAGGAGAGAGTCATGCTAATAATGGAGTGATCAGAGAGAGAAAGAGGGAAGTTGGTGAGGTTGCAAAGAGTGCATAGGTAGGAGAATACAAGGTTGAGGCAGTTACATGCGTCCATTGTTTTAGGTCAAAAGTTCAACATGATAGGCAACAGTAGAGTCAGAATTTAGCGTAAACATGAAAGCATGGATCCATCCTGCCTTGTATCAACGGTTCAGGCTGGTGGTGGTGTAATGGTGTGGGGGATATTTTCTTAACACTAGCAAGATGTACCTAATAAAATGGCTGGTGAGTGTATTTGTAGGTCACAAATCTGTGTTCAATCTGTAATGCACAAATCTGTCATCTGCTTGTAGTGTTTGAAGATGCTGATCTTAATTTGGTCACCCCATCAGTCCTGTTTGCTGCTGTGGGCACTGCAGGTCAGAGATGCACCACAGCTAGACGCCTGGTAGGAAAAATTTTGGCTTTCTTATGTGACTCTCATGACCATTACTGGTATTGTATTATGTCCTTATCCAGAATTCTTTGTCCATAGTTCTTGCATGAAAGCATCCATGATGACATTGTTCAGAAACTCTCCAAAGCCTATGCACAAGTGCGTATCGGAGACCCTTGGGAATGTGAGTAGTGTGGTGTGTTTTTTGTTTTTTTTCTTTTTTAACCACTTGCCGCCCTGCCACTGCATATATACGTGTGCAGGGCGGCACTGGGGCGCAAAAGCACGTTTTAAAACGGGCTCTGCCCTCCCGACGTTTTTGCGGGCAGGGGGCGTGCGCGCTCCCGCCGACCTGTGGGTGACACAATTTGATCCCGGAGGGATCAATCATTCGATTTCAGCCAGTGATGTCTGGCTCAAATCGGATGATCGGTCCCTGTCCTATCCTGTCCTGTGTTGACAGTTACACAGGACAGGATATGATGTCATTCTTCTCTGCCTGGACACATTCCATTCCAGACAGAGAAGAAGACATACAAATTGTGAGTAAAACGGCACATACCCACAGTTAGAACACTCTCTAGGACATATTTAACCCCCTGACCGCGCCCCCCCCCCCCCTTAGTTAACCCCTTCACTGCCCTGTCACCAGTGTCACTGATCAGTGAACCGATTTTTACTGATCACTGTATCAGTGTCGCTGGTGACTTCCGATAGTGTTAGTGCCCCTCCCAGATAGCGCCAGTTTGCCCACCAGTACACCAGTAATCCCATTTAACCCCTTGATTGCCCCCCCCCCCCCCCCCCCCCCCCCCGGGTCCCCCCCGTTAACCCCTTCACTGCTCTGTCACCAGTGTCATTGATTACAGTGAACAGATTTTTACTGATCACTGTATCAGTGTCACTGGTGACTTCCGATAGTGTTAGCGCCCCTCCCAGATAGCGCCAGTTTGCCCGCTAATGCACGGGATTTTTTTTTACCAAAAACATGTAGCAGAATACATTTTGGCTTAAATTTATGACTAACTTTGAGTTTACGATATATTTTTTATAGCTGAAAGTGTTTTTTTTTTCAAAATTTTCGTGTTTTTTTTTGTTTATAGTGCAAAAAATAAAAAGTGCACAGGTGATCAAATACCACCAAAAGAAATCTCTATTTGTGTGATAAAAAGGACATAAATTTTGTTTGGGTACAGCATTGCATGACCGCGCAATTATCATTTGAATTAGTGCAGCGCCAAACAGCAAAAAAAGGCCTGGTCATTAAGGGGGGTAAATCCTCAGGAGTTCAAGTGGTTAAGGGAACATATTTAATAATAATCTTAAACCGGAGTTCCACTCAAAAGCGGAAGCTCCGCTTGTTTGCCTCGTACACCCCCCCCCCCCCCCAATATGGCACCTTTTGGGGGTGAGGTGAGAGCGGGGGCCTGGTTTGGACTGGTACCCGCTCCCACTTCTGACTCAGTTTGCCACGAAGTTTGGCCCTCTCTTCCCTTCCCACAGTCTCCAGGGAACTTCCACAGGTCCCAGAAGACTGCCAGACCAATCAGGAGCCACAAGCTATCAAAGCTTGGTACCCACAGTTGAGATTTTGGTGCCGCGAGAGAAGAGGAGGACCGCGCGTGTGTGCACATTGCTGGACCCTGGGAAAGGCAAGTTTTTTGTGTTTTTATTAAAAGTCAGCAGCTACAGTTTTTGTAGCTGCTGACTTTTAATAAAACACACAATGGCTGGAGCTCCGCTTTAATTGTGAATTTGAGTGTTGTAACTGTTGCCGGAGATTCATTTTTGGATGTGTTTTTAAATTTTACTTTCTGTACCATAATCTGATGGTAGCACTTCCGTTGGAAGCTTATAAACTGTGAAAATAAATGAAAGGAGAAGTTACCTGAAGAGAATTTTAAGCAAATTTGTCTGTCTTCCTGTATGTATATAGATAAAACAAAGGAAAGATTTGAGGGGCTATGTTGGGCATACAATTTTTGCAAATAACATTAAAATTGAGTGTAAAGGCAAGATGATTTTCGTTTTTTTTTTTTTGGTAGAATGGCCAATGGTAAGAAATCGTGTTGGGGTTTTTATTGTTGTCTGTGTTTCCACTGGGGAGATTCACCCCTCTATTTTTCCGATGTCCAGCACAAGAGGTGAGGGGAATTCCTCCAGTGTAGACATGTTCTGGTTTCAGTTGTCTAAAACCAGACATTCCTCTCACTTTAGATGAAATTTTTCCTATCTATCTGTGTTTGAAAGCTGCATGGAAGCAAGATTACCCAATAAAAATGTAAAAAAAAAAACACAAACTTGAAGGGTTGCCATAGGGAATATCTCCAGTCTCTTTTTGCTTCTTTATATGTCAGGTCTTTTACTTTTTTCTGTGTATTTTAAAGACCATGTCTGTCTGGCTCTTTTCAGCTGACACGTTATGTGGACCTCTACACACTAAGCAGTCTGTGGAAATGTTCCTTTCAGCCATCGAACAAGCAAAATGTGAAGGTGGTACCGTTGTGTGTGGTGGCAAGGTATGTTGAAGAGAGATCAATATTGATGAACAGATAATGGTTTCATTATCAATAACGTTTTTTTTTTTTTTTCTTTTCCCCGTTTATACCTGACAAAGATAATTGATCGTTCAGGAAATTTTGTTGAACCAACCATCATGACTGGCCTTGCTCATGACTCTCCAATTGTTCACAAGGAAACATTTGCTCCGATACTTTACATTATTAAATTCAAGGTAAAATTATATTTTTTACTCTTTAGCTTTTAGTAAAGCAGACTTCTACTTAAAGCTCAACTCCAGGTAAAATAAAAATGTACCTTTTGCAGTTTGGCTCGCCTGCACTGCAAGGGTTAAATGCAGCTTTTTGTGTAGAGGAATGGAAAAGGTTGTCATATGTAGGGTTGCACCAATGCCTTTTTTTTTTTTTTTTTTTTTTTTTTTTTTTTATCATTACGAGTACCACTACTTGTGCTCAAGAACTCACTGACACCGATCTCTTGTGGTGTGATTTGAGCCCATACAAAATGAATGGGCTCAAATCGCACTGCAAATTACATTTGAACAGGAATGCGGTGCGATTCCTGTCTGAACTATATGGGGTTCCCCTGTGGGTGCAGTGTGATTTGAGCCATACAAAATGGTGCAAATTGCACTGTGTGGGCAGAGAAACTGCATGTGCATCGGACTGGAATTGCACTGCTACTTCAGCTGAAATAGTGCAATTTCAGTCAAATCACATGTGATATTTTTTTTTTTAATTTTTTTTTTTCAGTGAGCTATAAAGGCTCAAATAACACTGCAAAGGCATTGGTTTCAGGTATTTTGGAGCATTTGCACAAGTACTCGTTCAAATGCCTAGTACTGGCACAATTTCGGTATTGTTGTAGCCATAATTACATAACTCACAGGCACTCTGATGCCATCATATACAATGCAGGACCAATAGTCCTGCATCGTAAGTGAGCAAGTCCAGGGCCCAGTCCACAACCCAGAACATCTGAGTGGAGCAGAAAGCGTGGAATAAAATAAATAAAACGTATTTCTGTCCTCCCTAGCAAAACTGAGCATTTAAGCCTTGCAACACTGTCAAGGTAACTTTTTTTTTTTTTTTTTTAATTTATTTTTAATTCTACCTGGAGTTCAAGACTGGCAAAGCTATAGCTAACAGTCTTTCATGTACAATAAAGGATTTGTTGTAACTGTGGAATTCTTACCTTAAGGAGAACAGAGCTTCAGGGTTATGTGATGGTTACCACTACATTAATCCCATACGGGGGCAGCTGGTCAATCAGTGGCTCTGCACACAGATCTATGGCAGACTGATATCTTGATCTGCCACAAGAGGGCAGCTTTCTTCAATAATAAGTGATTTGTATCGTAGATAATTGTATTAATGGAGAAGAGTTGTAGCTTCAACTTGGCTATAAAGTATAGATTTTTCTTTAAGGAGCAGCTCCATCCAAAAGTTTTAGAAGGACATGGCTCTGACAGGCCCCTGTAGCTTTATGTCTAGTAACATTATTTCACCGTGCACAATCTCTATATAGAGATTCCAGGATGGCATGTTACACTGGTGCTGGTGTCTTCTTCCAAAAAAGAATTAGAGCCTCTGTCAACTGAATCAGGAAAAAAATGTATCATTACGAGTCCTTTTTAAGTTCTAAGGGCTCATTTACACAGGCTTCTAAAGTGCCACGTTTAGATGCACTTGGTTTTTGTGTTTAAACGCTGTGCTATAGAAGTCAATGGGGTCATACACATAGCTGCGGCTACAAACAAAAATGTGTGCTGTGTTTTAGCAGTGTACAAAAAAGGTAGGACACCGCTGTTTCTTGGGCCATACACAGCTTCAGATTTTACGTATGTTAATGCATGTAAACATGTCTAAACATACACCCATAAAGCCTTCAGAAGAATTGTCTAAACACGATGTGTCTTTATGCAGGTACTTTAGGAGCTTTTACCAACAACCTGTGTTCCGTGCAGAAAATATACAAATGCCCGTGTGAATTAGCCTTTATCATTTACAATGTGTGTTTTTTGTGTGTGTGTGTTAAAGAAAACAAGGGACGATCAGGGAAAAAAAAGCATTGACATCTGACAGCATGAGTTATCATGATCCCTTTGGATATCCTGTAAGCTAGTGAATTAACTTGCAGTGTAAAATGTAGTAATCTCCAAGTTGGACTGGCAATTTTTTGAATTAAAGTGTTACTAAACCCAGGGCCCTGCATTCACTATATCTGGTCTCCCACAGTACACAGAAAATGGAAATGCAATTACTTTAGTAATATGAACTGCTAAATACTTTTTTTTTTTTTCCCCATCAGTAGTCTTGTAACTATCCGTGTCCAGCCAAGCACTGGTTAAAGCTTGTAGGAGGAGTTTTCTTTCTGCTGGTGAACCCCTAACCTGTCTGGACAGTGCTGATTGGCCCTATGCTGATCACATGCACTCTCCCAAGAAAAGAAAAAAAACCTCTCTAGCAATACTCACTAAACTGAGCATGTGCAGAGTGTTGCCACATATGTCTTCTCAGGAGATCAGAGGGGGACACTGGAAGAAAGGGAGGATCAGAAAAGTCAGGATCAAACCGTGTTTTTACACAGTGCAGAGGATTAACCCCTTAAGTTCCACAATGAGTATAACAAGCATGCTTTACTGCATATACAGACTGATTTTACTGTTGGTTTAGTAACACTTTAAAGAAAAATCATCACATAGGGACTGTACACTTTATTCTCCATAATACTGGCAATAAAATTGTCATATTATTGCAGTGATGGAATATTTCTCTGATTTTGTAGATTGGACAAAAGCTGAGAAATACTTTTCTTTATGCAATATTCTCATGCTTAAAAACTGCACAGTTGCAAAGACCTGGGTGAATGTGCTGTAATAAGGGGGTCTAAAGTGAAACTGACCGCATCCTAGCCCCTTCTTTAGCCGGTATGCCTGGAAGTAAGAGATTCCAAAGTCTTGTGTCTGTAGCTGGTTCCTCTCACTCAGACTCAAAATGAATCAAAGAATTTATATTGAGAATAACTGCATACACAAACCAACAGTATGCTAGATATCCTGTATGCCAGACATGTACACATGACTGGCTATACTGGTCTGAGCACACAGGGTGCAGCATGCACAATCCTACTGGTTGACTTATAACCATACAAGAGTGCTTAGAACTGATGCTATGGTTGACTTGTAATGTATTCTGCTCCCATGCACCTTTGTATCAGTCCAGAGAGCTCATACAAGTCCAACGGCCAAGCTGTGCAGTAAGTGCATGAGCAGATTAGGAAAGCTGCTTGGATTTGGATGTTTGCCTTCTGTTACATTATCTAGAATACAATCCAATTCGCTGGATGGTCATTAATCTGAAGCGTCTATGCTGCCTTGTTTTAGTCCTGGACCTTAAATATAACAGGTGGAGCCTCCTTCCTGTGTGGATTACATCTAAAGAGATAGGACTATTGAGGGGGGGGGGGGGGGGTTATGTAGAGGCATTAACTCACTTGTGGAGATAATCAAATAAAAGGTTTATGTTTGGAATCTCATTAATGTAGGCAGATCAGCTAGAGAGATACAAGCATGAGTTAAAATATTAGACCTTCTTTGCCCTCACCAACTACACGAAGTGCAGTAATCTTGTGTCTCAAAGAATGTTTTCCAATATGTGACTTTTTAGGAATATTTTGGGGTTTGTGAACTGTGTGCTGCAGAAAGATACAGTTAGGTCCATATATATTTGGACACAGGCACAATTTTCATACATTTTGCTCTGAATGCCACTAGAATAAATTAAAACAAAACCATCCAAATGAATTTGAAGTGCAGACTTTCAGCTTTAATTCAAGGGGTTGAACATAAATATCAAGTACAAATTTTATACACAGTCCCTCCATTTTCAGGTGCTCAAATATAATTGGTCAAATTAATATAATCATAAAAAATAAAATATTCATTTTAATATTTTGTTGAGAATCCTTTACTGGCAAGAACTGCCTGAAGTCTGGACCCCATTACCAAGGACTGGGTTTCCTTCTTTCTGATGCTTTGCCAGGCTCGTAACTGCAGCTGTCTTCAGTTGTTCTTTGTGGTTCTTTCTGCCTTTAGTTTTGCCTTCAAGTGAAATGCATGCTCAACTGGGTTGAGATCAGGTGTTTGACTCAGCCATTGCAGAATATTCCACTTCTTTTCCTTCAAAAGCTCCTGGGTTGCTTTTGCAGTGTTTTGGATCATTGTCCATCTGTACTGTTGGCTTCGTCCAATCAACTTTGCTGCATTTGGCTGAATCTGGGCTGACAGTATATCTCTAAACACTGCAGAATTCATCCAGCTGCTTCTGTCTTCTGTCACATCAATAAACACCACTGACCCAGTGCCACTGGAAGCCATGCATGCCCATGCCATCAAACTTCCTCCACCATGTTTTACAGATGATGGTTTGCTTTGGATTATGAGCTGTTCCAAGCCTTCGCTACACCCTTTTTTTTTTTTTTTTTTTTTTTTTTTTTTTTCTCCATCATTCTGGTACAGATTAATCTTAGTTTCATCCGTCCAAAGAATGCTTTTCCAGAACTGGTCTGGCTTTTTTAGATTTTTTTTTTTTCTTTTTGTCTAATCTGGCTTTTCTACTCTGCAGGCTTATGAATGGTTTGCACCTTGTGGTGAACCCTCTATATTTGCTCTCGTGAAGTCTTCTCTTGATTGTAAAATTTGACAATGATATGCCCACCTCCTGGAGAGTGTCGTTCACTTGTCTGGATGTTGTGAATGGGCTTTTCTTTACCATAGAGAGGATCCTGCAATCATCCACCACTGTGGTCTTCCATGCCTTTTTTAAGGTTGCTGAGCTCACCAGTGCATTCTTCATTCCTCAGAATATACCAAACTGTTGATCTGGTCACTCCTAATGTTGCTGCTATCTCTCTGATCGATTTGTTTCATTTTTGAAGTCTTACAATGGCCTGTTTCACTTGCATGGACAGCTCCTTTTGCATTTGGAATCTATTGCTGTGAACCTACATCATTCATTCAAAATCCACACTTAGAATCAACTCCAGACCTTTTACCTGCTTAATTGATGAAGAAATAAAGGAGTAGCCCACACCTGGCCATGAAACAGCTTTTGATTCAATTGTCCAATTACTTTTGGCCCCTTGAAAAGGGGGGTATGGCTACTCTTAAGAGCTGAAATTCCAAAACCCTTCCTCCAATTGGGATGTACATACCTTCAAAGTAAACCTGCGTGTGCACTTTCAGCCCATATCCATTATATAACTATAGCTTGAATATGTTTTGGTAAATACCTGAAAAAAAAACTAAAATTTGTGCCTGTGTCCAAATATATATGGACCTAACTGTATATGAAGGCAGAAGATGACAGAGCAGTGTTGACTCCTAAATGTTATGTTGGCTTTGGCAGGACTTTAACCTCTTCACGCCGGGCGATCGCAAATGTGCGGCCTCCCGGCATCTGGGCCTAGACACCGAGCGGCCGCACATTTGCGTTCTATTAAAAAAAGAACGTGTGCTGAGAGCGCGTGCCCTGCGCGCTCCCAGCACACATGTCCAGTACTCACAAAAAAGTCCCGATCTCCTCTTTCGATCAGGACCTTTCCCGATCATGTGACCGTTGTCACGGCGGTCACATGACCCTAAACCCCACCCCGTCTCCTGGCTTCTGAAGCCCTTAAAGGGCCGGGAGGTCCTGAAGGGGTTAAAATAAGGTAAGCAAATGGCAAAAACATGCAGTAACCCACAGCAACCAGATCTTGCTTTTAGAGCAGTCAAAATAATCAAACTTCTCTCACCAGTAAAGGGGCTCTGAGCTTTTTATACCCTTTTTTTTGTACTCTTACATTCATCCTCTTTCTCCCTAGACTGAAGCAGAGGCTTTTGCATGGAATAATGAGGTTAAGCAAGGCCTGTCAAGCAGCATCTTTACAAAGGACCTGGGAAGAATTTTCCGCTGGCTTGGGTACAATTTTATATTTGTTTGTGTAGCTATTTTTTTACCAAAAAGTTACTGTTGTGCAAATGACACAAATTGGGTCATACTTAGGAGTGCTAATTCTGTCTGAATACACTTTTTAATATGGGGGTTTTCCTTCAAATTTCTGGGTTGAATGATGCCCAGCGCTATTCAGCTCTCTTCCTGTGCGCTCAGGGTATCAAGAAGGACCCCTCCTATGGAGGAGCATAAATACATTTTCTGCTAACCTGCAACAGAATAAATTCACATTCAATAGCTTCTTGAAAACTTTGCAACCAAATTCAATTCAACCTTGATTCACATGCTGGTAAGTGTCTTATTTTCTTCCTAGGCCAAAGGGATCAGACTGTGGTATAGTAAATGTCAATATTCCAACCAGTGGAGCAGAAATTGGTGGAGCTTTTGGTGAGTAACCCTATTGATGGGAATATGCTTGTATCTTGTATATCCCTAAACCAAGGGTCATAGAATTGAAGTATTACCTTGTATATTATCTCATATTCTGGATGGAACTAGCCCTTTTTGGTCATTAAAGCTACAATGCTGCTTTTGAGGAAGGTCTGATTTGGTCACAGGATGATGTAACTACAGCTGTTATGCCTGCAAGAACTAAAAAAGAAAAACCCCATGCACACAGCTTAAAAACTCAGCTGTTACCAGTGGTTTGGCTTTTTTGTGTTTTTTCAGCCTGTAGAAACACCTCTTTGTAAGCCTATGTGTCCATGTACACATAGGCATTTACAGGTATATTAGAGAGGGGCATGTGCCTAAATGCACTTAAATATTGAACACGTTTTGAGCGTTTTATGGATTCCATTGGCCAGAATATTTATTTATTTTGGCCATTGGATTGCATTAAAAGCTGAAATACTTGACAGCTTTTCTTCTGCCAGGTGTGATGGTATCCACAGGGGCCAAACGGATACCCCATGTGCATGAGATCTAAAAGTAACAACTGTACAGTTTGTTTTACTAAATATATTACATTTGATTGTTATCGCTTCTTTGCTAATATGTTGCGTGTGGGTTGTTTTTTGTTTTATTTTTTTAAAGGTGGTGAAAAGCACACAGGTGGTGGAAGAGAGTCTGGAAGTGATTCCTGGAAACATTATATGAGAAGGTCAACATGGTAGGTAAACGGGCAAGAATCCGTAATAGTTAATGTCTTTATTTACATTTGGGAGTTTTTATTAAGCATTGACAAACAATACAATAAAAAACACAAAAGATAGCTCACCAGTCAATAGTAAATATATAGATTATTGTATTGTTTAGTAGTCATCCAAATATAGCTCTTTATTCTTCCTGTACTGATGAAATAGGATAGTGGCAGGGGTAAACAAAACATTTTCCTTTAGTGTGCTCAATCACTACAGAGAGCAGATATTACCACAATGAAGGGAAAAAAAGGAAATATTTCATAGAGGGTAATGGAAAAAAAAAACACAAACTCTAATAAACCAGCACAAACATATGTATGCAGTTAGGTGCAATACACGTTTAGAATCTGGGCTTACCTTCTGACACAAACTAGTGCAGCCAGCATGCTTGGGTAATAGTGTAACCAAATTCATGCAAAAGATGATCACAAAGAGAAGCAGTGCAAAAAGGCTGTAGTATGCTAGAATGAAATTTAACCCTTTCCCACCGACCGTACACATATATGCAGCCTCACAGAAGTGAGCTTTTATCCGTGGGGCTGCATATATGCATACAATTTCTTTGTGCTGGGAGTGCGCCACACAGCATGCTTCTAGCACAGAGACCGGGCTGTCGCCAAGATCCCCAGGCATCAGACTACTGATCAGGGCCCAGGACTCCTGGTTCTGGGTCACCTAATTATTGTGATAGCTTCTGATTGGCTATCACAGTGATCAGTTGCTGTGCCCGCCCATTTGTTTACATTCTCTCCTGAATTAACAGAAAGATGAATTGTATCTTTTTCTCCTTGCAGAAGATGAGGATGTAAACAAATGTGTGTTACCACTTGCCCTCCAGAGGATTTACCCCCCTTCCTGACCAGGCAACTTTTTGCGATACAGCGCTGCATTACTTTAACTGACAATTGCATGGTCATGCCATGCTGTACATTTATGTCCCTTTTTTCCCCACAAATAGAGCTTTCTTATGGTGGTATTTCATCACCTTTGGTATTTTTGACTTTTTGCTATTAAACATGGCCAATAGAAAAAATTTTAAAAATCAAATTTTGTCATAAATTTGGCCAAAATGTATTCTGTTACATGTCTTTGCTAAAAAAAAAAAAAAAAAAAATCCCAATACGTGTGAATTGCTTTACATGAAAGTTAGTGCCTACATATGGCGATATATTTACTGGCGGCTATCAGCGACCTTATAGCAGGACTGCAGTGGACATTCTGACACTGGATGGGAACTAACTGCCTTTGACATCTCCAGTGACACTAGTACAGTGATCAGGGCTAATAAAAAGCACTGACACTGTACTAATGACACTGGGCAGGAAGGGGTTAACTTATGGGTGATCAAAGGGTTAACTGTTTACTGTGTGTGCTGTTTTACCTTGGAGAACTGCTGTTTTGTATCTCTCTGCTGTGCAGAGAAATACAAAACAGCATGTCCTTGCTGACAGGAGAGAGAACTGTGTTTTTACACACAGGTCTCTCCCGTCAGCTTTCCATGGCGATCGCCAAGACCCGGTGATTAACATGCCTAGCCGCCAATGGAGGCGCAGTTAGGGTGGAACACATGCGTGCCCTACCCAGGAATGCAAATCATGTATATATGATGATTGATGCACATATGGTGATTTTGCGCAGCCCTGCCGCCCTGTAGCAGAAGTTGTACTATAGGGCAGCGGGAAAGCGGTTAAAGAAAAAAGTAGCTATATCAAGGTTTGAGCTTGGTCAGTGCCAGGGTTAGTGTTAGGGTCAAGGTCAGCGTCAAAGGATAGGGTCTGTATATTTTTTAAATTCGTATCCGTGTTCATGTCAGTTGTTTTTGGGTCCTACTATGGGTATAAATAACTGAGCATTTTGCTTTTTTTTTATTCTACCTAAAAACCACACTAACATACACATACAGTTGTGTTCAAAATAATAGCAGTCAGACATTACTAACCTGATCAATCACTGTTTTTGGTAGAAATAATATTTCTACATGGCAAATTTACTAGCAGGTGTAGTAGAGTAATAGAAATCCAACAGACCCAACAGTCATGACATGCATGCTGCTGATTCTGTGTAATTGAATCACTAATTAAAAGGGGCATGTTCAAAATAATAGCAGTGTGGAGTTCTGTTAGTGAGGTCATTCATTCTTTGAAAAACAGGTGGCAATTATTGCCCTTATTTTAGGAAGGAAGGCAGCAAATGTTGTACATGCTGGTTACAGTGCATTTCTCTCTGAAATTCTGAGGAAAATGGGTTGTTCCAGACATTGTTCAGAAGAACAGCGTACCTTGATTAAAAAGTTCATTGGAGAGGGGAAAACATATAAAGAAGTGGAGAAAATGATAGGCTGCTCAGCTACAATGTCCGCAAATGCTTTAAAATGGCAACCAAAACCTGAAAGACATGGAAAAAAGCGTAAAACTACCATTCGAATGGATAGAAGAATATCCAAAATGGCAAGGACTCAGCCAACAATCAGCTCCAGGAAGATCATAGAAGGTCTAAAGTTACCTGTGAGTACTGTTACAATTAGAAGATGCCTATGTGAAGCCAAGCTATCTGCAAGAAGCCCCCACAAAGTCCCACTCTTGAAAAAAAAAATTGTGCTGAAGAGGTTACAATTTGCCAAAGAGCACATTGACTGGCCTAAAGAGAAATGGCGCAACATTTTGTGGACTGATGAAAGTAAGATTGTTCTTTTTGGGTCTAGTGGCCGGAGACCGTTTGTCAGACGACCCCAAACACTAAATTCAAGCCACAGTACACTGTGAAGACAGTGAAGCATGGTTGCGCAAGCATCATGATATGGGGATGTTTCTCATACTACGGTGTTGGGCCTATTTATCGCATACCAGGGATCATGGATCAGTTTGAATACATCAGAATACTTGAAGAGGTCATGCTGCCTTATGCTGAAGAGGAAATGCCCTTGAAATGGGTGTTCCAACAAGACAATGACCCCAAACACACCAGTAAACGTGCAATATCTTGGTTCCAGACCAACAAGATTGACGTTCTGGAGTGGCCAGCCCAATCCCGGATCTTAATCCAATAGAAAACTTGTGGGGTGACCTAAAAAATGCAGTTTCTGAGGCAAAACCAAGAAATAGAGAAGAACTGTGGAATGTAGTCCAATCATCCTGGGCTGGAATACCTGTTCACAGGTGCCAGAAGTTGGTTGACTCCATGCAACACAGATGTACAGCAGTTCTCAGAAACAGTGCTTATACAACTAAATATTCATTAAGTGATTCAAAGGAAAGCAAAATCTTCAAACATTTTTCAGTTTATATAGTGAATGTTTGAGTTTGTAAAGAAGAATACAAACACTGCTATTTTTTTGAACAGTCTAATGACTTTTCTTCTTCAATTTTTTTTTTTTTTTAGAGGAACAACACAAATTTTGATATTTTTTCTTCATGTTTTGATTTGGAATAGAATGTGTAGTGTTCCCAATGCATTTGTGTGTGTATGGAAATAAAAGCTATTAGAAGGATTTTGAGCTTTATTCACTTTTTTCAACACACTATTATTTTGAACACAACTCTGTGGTATAGCTGCGATTGTCAGGAGCAGGAGAATTTGTTTAATTTACCACCACCAACTCAAAAAAAGCAATAGTATTGGCAAGAAATTTACAGCTAAATAAAAAAAACTTGGCAAATATGTAAATTTAGAGTACGTTAAATAATAAAATGCCTATTTATATTTCCAGTCTGTTGCTTTCTTCAGACTGATAAGCTGAATGCCCTTGGTGTGATCCTGGGTTTCAGCAGCTGACTGCAATCTGGGATATGTCCCAAGTAAGGGGTCCAAGTTGGATCTGGAACCCAGCTGATAGGTTGATTCTTGCCTTTTGGTCATAACATGGCTGTAGGATTAGTCCATCTCAAGATATGATTGAAGATCACAACTATGCTATTTATACCATGCAACATAAAACAATCCATTTTAAGCAGTGGAAATGCTGATTTGTGTTCTCTAATACACCATAATTCAGGGTCCTTTTTTACTAAAAAGTCTAAGTAAATTGATCATATATTTTCTCATTTCAGTACCATCAATTACAGCAAGGATTTGCCGTTGGCTCAAGGCATAAAGTTCCAGTAAATGTTCACTAGGTGGCTGTCTAGTTACAGAACAATGTGGTGGAATGCATCAAGGTCAATCATTGCAGACATTTATATGAAATGATGATTTCATCCCTTCAAAATGAGAGATTTCCCTAATAAAATGTGGCACAAGTGTTCATTACTCAAACTTTTGCAGAAAAAACATTTGTAGTCTTTTTTCACTACAGAAGACAGACTGTCACCCTTGCTACAGCAGGCATTCACAGAGGATCCTGTCAGGCTGCTGAAAATCACCATCTCCTGTGTCTGTGGTCATTAATGTTTTAGCAGCTGAACACTGGATATGGAAACAAAGCCTTATGTTCTTGAGCTGACACAAAGTCTGTACTTGTTTAGTAAAATAAAAAAAAAATCTGCTTACGTGTGATGTGTACATCCAAATGTTTTGTTTTGGGGATTTACCAATTGGAAGAGATACATGATGCACTTTAGAGTCGGATGCTAAGAATTCTACAGCCATGTGTGGAGATGGGGGGGTTCAGCCCTCAGCCCAGTACCCAGTTTTCTTTTGTTTTGTTTTTTTTGTTTGCTAGTGTAGTATCCTAGGAAGTAGGACACCTTTCCTCACTATGAGTAATAACTATTAAAGTGTGTGTGGTCAGCACTATCACAATATACTGGTTTACACACACACATGCGCTCTAAAGGCTTAGATACATTAAAATCAAAGAGATTTAAAAATGCCAGCATAAAGTCATGGCCAAAAAATATTGGCACCCCTGCATTTCTGTCAGATAATGTACCACTTCGCCCAGAAAAGTGTTGCAATTACAAATGTTTAGGCATTCTCATGTTTATTTCTTTTTGGTTTGTGTTGGTATGACACAAATAAGTGGAGATACAAAAAGC